AAATGGAGAGGAATTTTCTTGTGGGTAGGCTTGGAATGTTGGTATATTTACACTGTCGCTGCTAGGCAAGGTGGAAGCGTAAATACAGCGTCAGAGCCAACCTTTCTGTGGTGACGTGCAGGGCTGCTCTGGGGAAGTGGCTGGGTCTGGGAAAGTCAGTTACCTGAGGAACCTTGAGCTCTGTGTTCTGCTGGCTGTGGCTGTGTTGCAGATAGCAGGTTTGTGAGTCTCCTGGTTCTAGAGGGCACAGGTTTAATTCTTTTCCTGGGGTGCACTTCAGACATTTCTGCAGTGACTGCAGATCAGGCTGGACTTGTCAGACAAAGTAGTTGAAGACATTTCCTGAACATCTGTATTGGGATTTGTGCAGAGGTGGGATTTGTGCAGACATACCATACAACTGCCAGATGGAGTTACAATACTGATGGAAACTCTGCTCTTTCTGGCTCCCAGTTTCAAGTTTGAAGTTACACTCCAATCACCTTTACTCCCCACCAAGAGGTAGTGGGAGAACTGATGTGACAAGCTTGTTGAAGCCCAGCAAGAGCTTCCAGCCAGAAACCAACTCTGATGGCCTACACTGGTGTACAGGGTTTTTGTTGTGATGCAGGCTGATAGGGACAGGCCAGTGGTCCTTTCTGCAGGGAGTGCTGGTGTTAGCTGATGGTTAGAATGGCTTAGAGTTGTGAGAAGGCAAGGAACTCACTGGTGGGTGGTGGTACAGCCTGTTGCCCCTGTAGTACAGCTGAGGGTGCTGGGCTGTGCTGTATGCTCAGTTGCAGGGATGTTTTTGTATGCTCAGGCACTGCCCTGTGTGTCTTGGACAGGAATCCAGGCCAAACAAGTATGTAGACAGAAGCTCTTCAGGCTTAGCAAAGTGTGTGTGCTTGTAAGACTGGCATGAGGTATCTCTGCCACTACTTCTAAGCCCTGATGTAAAAGGCACCCTAGCTATTGTAATTCGTATGACACTGAAGTGCATTTTAATGACTGTTAAGTCAGTGCAAGTATTTGATCAATAGATGGAAACAGGCAGAAAGAGCAGTGTCTGGAAAGGTGGTTTGTTTACCTGGAGGCAAAGCACTGCTTACCCTCACACAGCTGCAGATCTGTTCCCCCTTTAGAGCCCAAATGGTACAAGACAAACAAGAAATGAATTGAGTGCCTGAGATGGGTGCAGAGGTTTCTCCTCCCTTTCATCCCTCCTGTGTGGATAGGAGTGGGACTTGAGCTGCTGTGCTGAATATACCAGAAGCAGCACTGAACAGAGCTTTGGGTAAAGTACTGCTTTAATTCTTTGTCAAACTCTTTGGTAGAAGTACCATGCTTCCTTACTAAAGGATGGCTCTCTATATCAAAATCAAATGCTACTCATGGAGGAACGCAGAGGTGAGGGGAGTTTTGCCATGCTTTGTTCTGGAGAGATTAGCTAGTGCTCCAGCAAAGCTGTGGTCACAGGTTTACTCAGTGTAGATCTGATATGCCAGAGGCAAGGGGGTGCAGCCAGTGTGTATTTCTGGTTCTGCAGGTACCCTTTCACCTCTTAATACTCTCAGGTAACCGTGGACCTCTGCTTTTCGAGTGCCTGCTTTCCTTTCTCTCTCATGGCCTTTAAAAAAGGACCATGAGAGAATATAGGCATCCTGCAGTGCTTGCCACCTTCTAATTGGACAAAGCCATAAAGAAACTGGGTTTTCCTGAACTATAGTTCTAACTCCTTGTGTATGTTCCTTGTATTAGTCCCCCATCCCTTCCTCCCTTTCCCCACCCGCAGCACTTTGGGGGTGAAGGAAAATCACTCTTGGACATTAACCCATGTATCCATTCTGTAATTCTGTGATTCTGTTGATGTACAGTCACATGCTTAAATATTTAATTTGATAAATAAAAGGGTAGTGCAAAACCCTTTCTTGGTTGAGGAGGCAATAGGCATATGGCATGTATATGTCTGCTAGGATTTGCTCTCAGTTCCAAAGCTGTGCGAGTTCAAACAGCTGCAGGAAACCAAATACATATTTCTGTGGCATATAACTGAGCTTTCTGTATAAAACAGTCTATTTTGTAGCTCTTTGATTAATAAAGATACTTTGGTTGAGAGGCTTTTCTCAAGAGTCCCATAAGAGTTTAGAATTCATTCCCACCACAGAAAGAGACGCAGACACAGCTGAATCCTAACTTATCTGAGTGCTCACTATGAATTTGTTAGTGTAAAACTTAATCAAATGAACAAAACTGATGTAGAAGCACCTGGTTGTTTTTTGGTTTGTTGTTGTTGTTGTTGTTTTGTTTTTATAGGTAAAGTTGAAAACTATATAAATCTACCTTAAGTGTAAAACACTTTTATCATTTAATGAAAGTTTTTCAGTTTAGGGGTTACTTTAATACCACAATTAACAAGACTGGCTTGGAGGTAATCTTTAAGTTTCTCTTCTAGAAGCTTTTCAACAGTATCCTGACAGTTGAATAGAAGTGAAAAATATCCTGTAAACAACTCCATTAAAACATCCATTATCAGACCCAAAGTTAAGTGACATGAGAGACACACGGTAAAGAACAGAAAAGGCTTTATTAGGGTAGACAGATACTATTGCCAACGTATTGGGAAACTCACTGTAATCTCAGTTCAGGTAACATTCAATACAGAATAATTCCCAATGACTTGGGTCAGTAGGTATCAGTGCCACGCTAAGTTAGGGTATGTTCCTGAACAGACTACAGAAGATTTGGATATGCAAAACAATTTATATTAAATAGTTTTTTTAAGATTGTCACTGCTTTGTACATGTCCCACCCCTTATATTTCCTTTACATCCCAAGAGCTAAATGAAAGAAAAATCTTAAAAACATAGTCCTCTGCTATTTGTTCTCTAGTAAGGCAGTGAAATCTTCTTTTTAATAGAAAGTACTGGGTGTTTTTCAGTATGACTCTTTTCACCAAGAGGGCAAGCTGCTTGTATCCAAAGATTGGGAACAGTGTCATCACTTTGTCACATAAGTGGCCTTCTAGTCTGAGGGATCCAAAATTACATTGTGACCTCTGTAATCCCCTTTTTCTATTTCTGATTATCAGTCTTAATAGTTTAGAGGAGCAGGTATGATCAGAAGCAGCTCTATTTCAATAATCAACTTGCTCTGAGATGCTTTCTAGATGGACCTCTTAGAAGTTTTCTTTTGTGCCCCAGTTGAGCACTGTGCACAGAATCACAGTGACTGTTCTCCTGTATGACTGCTGTTCTTCTGTGCAAATAAATAGTGGCTTCCCAGGAAAAAACTGGAGCAGTTCCATTCAAAATTATTAGTACCATGTGCATTTTATAATGTACTTGAGAACAGGTCCAGGACTCTTAAGAATACTGGAAAAGGTTCCAAATATTACAATACATGTTCATGGTTTCTTTCTGTATCAGTGGTGAATTGGATTGATTTATTATTTTATTTTTTCCTTTAAAAGAGCTGAACCAGAAGAGCATGGTCTCTGTTAACCAGAGGGAACAAAAATATCCTCCATGGCTTCCTAGATCTTACAGTTAAAGAAACTGTAAGCTTCCTAGATCTTACAGTTAAAGAATGGAGGAGCATAACTGGGGAGGGGGATGGGATGAGAAATCTGTAGCTGATATTTAAGAATATTTTCTCCCTATTCAACTCCAAACAGATCATTGTGACTTTTGTGCTGAATTTGAGAGGTTACTTGCTTCTTTACCTTTTAGCTTCAAATAATATAGGCAGCAAGATGTGGTTCTAGATAGGAGAGGGTCTTGTTTTGCAGAAAATTGGCATCTCGTGTTCTGAGGGCTTAGGCAGATTCTTTCCCTGCTTACACACCAGTTATCCTAAGCTGTTTTCCTCTACCACCCTCAATAAAAGCTGCTGCCTACCTGATCCTGTGCTATTCATTCCGTGTGCTCCAGAGAGGAAGGTATGTGGTAGCTGAACACAGAAAGGGTGATCTTGCATGTGCTGTATTATCTGTTTAGAACAGGCTAATCAACATAATATGTAATTAATTGGTGGGCAGGCACATTATTGTGTTTTGCAGTAGAAGAAAGAAAAATCCCTTTAGAGTAAAGTCTGCTTGACCTTAATTGGAACAGTTTTGATGGAAAGCATAAGCCACTTGTAACTTAGCAGCAGGAAGACTCTCTGAATTTAGGAACTAGGTGGAAAATACCTCAGCTGATAACTCATACTCTTGAAGTTCCTGGTTTGATATCCAGCCCCCATGTTCATAAGGCTTTCCACAGGAGAGGGGTAGATTATAACCTGTCCTTTGCAATACCTTTCTAGAATCACCCACTTCTGATACCCACCAGAGGTGTATGGGCAGTGTTCCTGATTAATTTACTGACCTTGTCACTAGTGCCAGCAATGTGTGTTTAGGGGACCCCAGCTCTTTCTTTTAACATGTTTTTTAAGAGTTTAGGTTAGGGATGTGGGCCCTTTAGTGAGCTGGCTGGGGAAGAGTTGCTTTTCTGTTCAGCTGCCCTATTGAACAGTTCAAGCCAGCAGTTATAGAGTTAACAGATTCCTCCAAAACAGCTACAGAATGTATAATAGAAGAATTTTAGAAGAGTTTATAAAGTTAGGATTATCTTTAGTTTGATGCTCTTAAAGCACAGAACATTGACCTGTATAAAAACATGGGAGGCAGAAACGATCCCAGTACATAGGGAATTATATTTTACTGCTAGAAATACTACTTTAGTTCTTAAATTTCAACTCTTCAACTTCTGGATGTTTTGGGGGAGCACACAATAATCCTACAGAATGAGGGAAAAGGGGTTTGAGTTTTTTAAATTGGTATGTTCATAACAGAACTATAGCAGTACCTGCTTTAAAAATTGACATGAATACGAATGATATGAATGATGATTAATTCTTGTGTCTTGTCTGGGCACAGAATGAAAACAAATGCAGGTGAAATATTCAGGAACCCCAAAATCAAATTAGGACTGTCAAGTGTGCAAGCAGAAATGATGCTCAAAGGACTGAGTGTGAACTAAAGCTGAAGACCTAAGAATGCCGAAGTTTTTATTGATGTGACAACATCTGTTTGAAGAAAAAATAAAGTTAATGAAATGTACAAGATGATAATCTTCCAAGCTTCCACAGATTTCATAACAAAACACATTCATGAATCAGAGAACCACAGCAATAGTAAGGCCCTACCAGTTTTGCAGACTAATTTAAACTTGGAGCAGGAAGAAGGGAGGGCACTTCGATTAAAGTCAGGTGGGCTAGAGTGTCACATTCCATGTTTTGCTCACTTTGTAAGTGTAGGCATTTGTATTTGGGTGTATATTTTAATAGACTGTGGTAACTTTACATTAAGCCAAACCACCAGAAATGGGCCAGTAAATGAGGACAGGAAATAGAAAATCTAAGTAATAACTAGATTTTTTTTTTTTACAAAACCAAGGGCATACTGAAAAATCTGAGAAGCAATTCAGACCATTTGAAAACCTGCAGATAAAACAGTATCCCATTCAAGGCATGAGTCTGAACCTTTAATTGTACCTGGAAAAATTATCTCCATCTGTTGAGGTTAGGACTTATGTTCTAGCCAGTGGCTCAGTGGGGCTGTGATTTCCAAGCTCTGGAGTCAGATCTGAGGCTAACAGGATCTTCATCAGTGGTGGAGGCAGCAACAGCTGAAGGTACAGGCTCTTGGCTTTTCCAGTGGATTTTGAAATTTTGTTTCTGAAATGCTAAATTCCATCCTGGGCTCTTTCATCTCCACCACAGGTGCAAAAGACCAGTACTGTTAATTCCAGCAATCCTGATCCTATTTCATATGCAGAAATTAACCCAAAGGCAAGTAATAAAAATGCATACATCATCCCATTCAATTATTCAGCAGTTTTGCAGACATACCAAAAAAAAAAACTAGCTTTCCATATAAAAATTGTCTATGAAACAGTCTAACTTGAGTTTTTCTCCATGGATCATAATTCCACATGTGCTGCTGGATCTGTTGAAGAGGAGAGAAAAATGAACATTCTGTTTCCAGCTGCTTCAATTGGCAGATTGGTTTGAAAATTAGTACATAAACAGCCAAAGACTTGTTCTTTGCAAGGTTACCTGTGGCTGAAGTACAATTCATACCCATTCTGTATAGTGGCACTTTAATTAAGCGTTAAGATAAGGCCAAGGTCATAAAATTGCAGAAACAGTAAGGGTCTTTAACAGAACTGGAATAAGCATGCAATAGAGCTCTCTGTTCTCTAGGTTTCAGAAGCAGGTGAAGTTACACCAGCCTTGCTCACCAAGGTCTTTCTGTCCTATTAAAATACACATTATTTAACAGCTTGTCCATGTAAGCTTTTGCATCGTGCAAGCTTACAGTGTGCAAGTATGCAACTTAACACTACTCCAGAGAGATAGGAAGAACCTCAAAGTAGTAGGGAAACTGCCTGCAAGATTACCGTGTGTGTGTTGTCCTGGCATCTCAGCTGGTATTCCTGTTTCTTCTTCTGTTTCTTTTTCTTTCTGGAAAAGACTCTGGAGCTGTTTGATTTCTTGATCATAGTCCTGCCATTCTGGAACTATACGCATTGCTGCTTGCAACTTGGGCTCTTTGGTCATTGGGTTATTACACTGCAAACAAAACATAAGAACGGTTCAGATACTTAATATGTAAAACAGGTTCATTTACTGAACAGAGGTATGCTTCCCCCTGGTGGATTACCATCTGTTGTTGGTGAACCACACATGCCTGTGTTTAGGTGGAGTACAGGGTAAAGTCTCTTTCCAAATTCACAATAATGCCACTGCTCCAGGTAAGAGAAATACAGAAGCTAAAGGAAAAAATCAGAAGTGCTGAAAACATTTAGGTAACAGTACAGGCACCTAGATCTGAAGTAGGGAAGTACCTCTAAAATTGGTCACTCTATTGTGACATAAGACTGAGTGAGCCATACTGTACTTACCAGATCAATGGTTTTTGCTCTCTTCTTTGAGGAGTCATCACACCATGTTTCACACCACAGCCACTCCTGTGGCAGTGATTTAATTGGCACCTGGTGGATCATGTTGTTAGGCAAATCCTGGTGTGAAGAATATGAGTTAGTATGTACAGGGTAGGAGGAATAACCCTCAAACCAGACAGTATGAAGACATTTAACTTTTGTAAAGAGTGATTTTTATTTTTTTTTTCCAGCACAAATATATGTTGAATCAACATTTCATTCCATTCCAAACAAAGTCCTTTGGGGAGAAAACTGCATACTATAACTATTAATCCTACTTTGTTGAAAATCAGTTATTTAGCAAACAATAGTAAAGCAATAATACGAATCTAGTATCAAACCTGTACCGGGTAAGTTTGGAAAACCATCCTAATTGATTAAAACCTTAGTGTTATTTTTATCATCTGCCACAATACAAGTCTTATTTCGGTGTTAAGTCAGTGCACAGTAAAGTACTTGGAGCTGGACAGCTCAAGAAACAAATACCCAGTTGTGTTACGTATTTGTCTAGAAGTATACTGGAAAATTTGATAGTCTTAAGACATTTAAGGGTAAGGTGTTGTTTCCACCCAGCTGTTATGGTTGATGCTATCAGTACCTGTTACTGGCATCTGGCTGTGACTGAAGTTTGTCCAGGGAAGGAGAGGTCCCAATCCGCCATTATAGCCCATAAAGCAACACAAACCCAATAAAAACACACCTGGTCGAGGTTGGACAGACTGTTAGGATCCTGACTGAGACCCTGATATTGTCCTCTGAGTCGATCTCCAGCTGCTATCTTTCTGAACTTCTTCAGATCCACAACATACAGAGCACTATATGGAGATGATGGAATTAGTAATGACATTTGACTGATGGGTAACTTACTGCAGTCCCAGTAAACCCCAAGATACAGTATGCTAAAACAATCTCTTGGTAGCAGTACATCAAATTATCTAAGACAAGGCAGGAAAGCAGTTCTAACGAGGTCATGGCACATACAAAAAAAAATCCAACAAATCTATCTTAGCTTTGCTGTCATGCAGTCCCTTCTTCCAACACTTGTTATTAACAAATGAAGATGTCTGGTTAGTTAACACTTCAGTTCTTCATCTGTAAAAGTTGTAGCATACTGAAAGTGACTTCAGTGCCCCTAGGGCTTCAAATGGACCATAGGCAAAGGAACCTTAAAGAGGCAACAGTAAGCAACAAGTGGTTCACTGCAGCGTTGTTTTCACCTCAGCTAGTTTTCTGCTAGTTCTAAGCGGTAGCAAAAGCTTCCCCCCTCTATTAGGAAAAAAATGAATTCTTCAGTACCTGATGTGGTATTTTCTTCCAGCTAGATGACTTGCCCAATATCCTGATTTCCAGAACCTGTAGCCATCCATTTCTTTTCGACTGTCACAGAATGGAGTATACCCATAAGGAGCACCATCTAGATTGAAATCTCGTAATTCCTTTAGGTCTGTGCGCACAATCTGAAGGGAAAGGACATTTTATTTAGAAGGCAGTAGCCAATCACCAGTTCTTTGGAAATGCTGGTCAAGATTTAATTCAAACTGAGCAAACAGAATTACCCATTATACCTTGCAGTCTTTTGCACTGTACATATGTAGTACAGAAACAGCAGAAAAGGTGTTTAAAGCTGCCCTTAGAGTTGGAGAAACTAAAATAGAGCTTAAAATAAACTGTAGGGGTTGGTCTGACAGCTGGAGTACCAAATTATTGCTTAATAAGCAGCAAGAATTCTCAACTATGAACTCTGCTGTGATCCTTTTTGTATCCTTTCCTCTTGAAAAGTTCACAAACCCTTCAGGGATGAAGGCTTTTTAATGTCTTCTTGACGCAGATGATGTGGCAGTGATACTACTTTAAAAATATCACTCTGGTGGGAAAAATGCATTAATATCTCTTCTATAAACACAACAAAAAGTGTCTCAAATGAAAACAGCATAGATTAAAATCTATACTAGGTGATACTTAAGTTGTAATGGTTTTAACTGACATGGGATCACACTGTACATACGCCAAAACACCTAAGGCGTTTTTACTTAGGTGTCAATAATCTGTACTTCTCAGTTTCATGTATCTTTTTGAAGGAATATTTTTGGCAGTTCTCACGCGCATCCTGTACTTCCAAATGCTACAGGCAATAAGCACGTACAAAGCCTTATACCATTTGCTTTGCAGCAGAATATGGCTTCGTGCACAGGGGATTTGCCCTCCCGCTCCTCTGAAAGCCACTCAAGCCTGGCCAAGTGGGAAGCTGGGGGGTAGGAAGGTGTTCAGTGACTTAAGAAAATACTGTATGTGGTAAGTGAGCTGCAGGCTGGGAGAACAGTCAGAACTGGAAAATGGAAGGGTGAAACAAGAATCTATTTGGCAAACTGGCTGGAATCAGAGTGAGTGAATGAGGAACCAGCCAAAAGAAAAGTACAGGCCAACAAAACCAATCTTTGTGGGAACAGGCAGGAAAAACAACACTCACTGAAGCATGCTATAGTTACAGAATCAACCATCAATCATGCCTGCAAAGGGCTCAAACTTGTAACCTTTCCAATAACAGAAATTGTACTCAAGAACATACTGTTCTTAAAGAAAAAAGAAAATGCAAAGTAATTTCAGCCTCTGTGTTACCTGATCAGCATCCACAAACAGGATTTTATCAACAGCTAATGGGAAGAGCACATCTAGAAAGAGGATCTTGTAACCCCAGATGATACGCTGCTTTTCTGTTTGCTGATGAAGCCAGCGTGGCCATTTATACTGGACAAGCTCATACTGGAAGTTATACTTCTTTGCCATGTATGGGATGAACTCCTGCAAAGGGAGGGGGGGGAAAAGTAGCATATTTCAGTTCTTTGTTCCTCTGCAGGAAAAAGAAAAGTGCATTACAAGAGGTAGACTTCTATCCTATAGTAAGGCATAGAACATTAGAAAATGAAATACCACTAAGAGAAACTATAGTTTCCTTGTTACTTCAAAGACATAACTCCAAACTGAATGATCAGTACAAATTATAAAGCCAGCTGCCATCAAACAACCACATATTTTGGCATTTTGCCCCACACAATTACTTACAAGCCATTTTATAGTGATCCACAGATCAGTTTAACAGAATGCATTACTCAAAACATATCATTTCAGATGGGAGAACTGTTACTTAGGGCTGTACAAGGCAGTGAAATTGGGAATAATAAAATGAGAGAAAGTAATTTGGAGAAATTCTTCACTAGAACTGGCCTCACAGTCAAAGCAATTGACATTCTCATCTGTGAGGCTTCCTCTGACACTGAGAGACTATAGTTTAGTCAAGGGATGCTGGCACGACATAGCCATTAGAAAGAGAGAAGCGAAGCGTTTTGTTGTACCACTGCAAGAGGTGACTGACAACAGCAGTCATAGCACACAGCCCATGGTTGAAGCAACAGGGACACTGCCAATTTCCTCCCCTTGAGTTCATGCTGAACATGTGAGATTCTCTCAGAAATGCTCTTTCCTAATATTGCAGGTTGCAGTCTCTTAACATTCATTTACCTATGGTTTCTATTTTGAATCCTGCTGTTTGTTTTATGATGTCTCACATATAATCCATAAGTATTTTCAGATACACTCATCTAGAGCCTGCACCACTCCTTACCATGCACCACTCATGTAACCTCATCAGCCTGAAATGTGGTCTTATTGTCTCCTCTTACGGAGCTGCCTCCACACCTAGTCACAGGTATTGCTTTGTTGGTAGGCTTTTTTCCTATAGTCTTCCAACCTTTATGTGTTAGATGTAAGTTTATAGCCCTGAATTTCATCTTAGAATCTACCTTTTCTTGTGTGAGTTCAGATTATTTCAAGTATGATTTTCCTAATATGTGCTCTTCTCTTAAATATTTACCTGCGGCATGAGTCTGCTGTCAACTTGCCTGTTACTTCTCACAGCTTTCTAGACAGTTGCCAGTTTACACCAACTTGATTCTTTGTCAAAATAGAAGGTATACAGGCAGGTGTGCATGTGCTTACAGAGTATGTGACAGAGGTTGCAACTTGAAAACCAAAAGTTTTTCCCACCACCGAATAAATTTCTAATGAGTTACAAACCTTGAATGTGGGTGATAAGTAGTTCTTCAGAAACCAAAACTTTAAAGGAGTCTTGGTGTGCTTCAGCACAGACAACATCATTATGCTATCAAAAGAAAAAAAATAAAGCATTTACAGAAACAGCTGCTAGAAGTCAGCTGTGTCACAGATTACAGATTGCTGGTTTACATTGCTAGGCTAACTGCAGTTAGTCTAGTAACTGTGACAGGTAACTTGATCTTCACACATGAATTAAACTGGGTAGCTGCAGCCTATTGCAGATTGCTTGGTTTTATCTACAGAATAACTAAACCTCTCACAATCTTTTTCTTTTAATGAGTCAGAATATGCAGCTTGTTGGCTTTCACAGTCCTTTGAGAATGGAAGTTCTTTTCCAAAGCAACTACAACTTATAGTATCCTAACAATACATTTGGATTTGGTTATACTGTAGTGAGAAAATGTAGGACAGGGACAATGCCATCTATTAAACCAAGTCCAGTTTGAATGTGTGAATGTTATGCACAATCTAGAGGACTTCTGAGCTGCTGAGAAAGTTTTGGGGCTTTTTTATATTCTTGTAAATTCTAACCTTTCTTCTGTGGAAATCAGGGCACATCATCATTTGAGACTGCAGGACTCACCGTAGGAATCTTTCATACAGGTGTCCTGAAGCCACAGAGAATATATTTAGTACATCATCTTTATCCTGTTTCACATCTTCATTCTTTTGTCCTCCTGTGAATCCCCTGAAAGGGTAAATGTATTTATATAAAGGACAAGAGAGTAAGGGACAGCTATATAGGAAAGAGTGCAACAGATGATGAATTGCTACAATGTTGATCTAACATAGTGTAACTGTGGGGTTTGGTGTCATTCCCCCCATGCTGGTCAGGCTATCTTCCACAAGAGAGAGTACTGCAGACAAGGGGGAAGTACCAATGGCTTATCTGTGAACACTGAACATCAATTGAAAGACTGCTGGCAGGGATGCAGCTGCTGGAAATGAGCAATGTTCACAGGCTCTCAGGTAGCAGTGGGGATAAGGGAAGGCAAGGCAGGTGCAAAGCAATGCCCTGGTCTCTAGCAGCAGAGGAAATGATACGAAAGATACCTCCATGAAAGATAGCCCTAAATTCAAGCAGTCTTAGTAGACAGCTACGGAATATCATAGATCAAACTCTTATCATCAAATAGTTTTCCAGTTTCAAGAGAGTTTCAAGTTATTGCTGAATTAGTTTTACCATTTGAGGGATTCCCAAAATCCAGATTCATTCTCACTGGTACCATCACTTAGTAGATCTTCATTCATCATATCTAGTTTTTTCTGAACCTGTAAAGCATACAATACTGCTTTAGTGACTGGAACCACAACTCACAAACAGCCATGAAGTGTTATTTTGATACTAGCTCTGTTTGTATCCATGTGAATTCTGCCCAGTAGAATGAGCTGACAGGTAACCTAAGCTGCTTAGAGAATCAGCTCAGTAGTGAACTGGCATTTTCAGAATGGATGGCAAAGCTGTTTTCAGACACCTAAAGCATGTTAGTCTAGATGGTTAAAATGCAAAGAGGTTCTTGGTGACAGAGACTGGCAAAGAAAAAAAGAAACCAACTAATGCTCCCCCTCCCCCTTATGTTTCTAAATGGTATTACTGGCTACTGAGCCAGATGTATGATAACCATCACTTGTCTTACCAGTTGACCTCCTTAATCTTTTCAGCTCTTGTTATCTGATAGGCAGCCCTAAAGACAAATTACTAATTTACCTTTTAAATTTACCTCTTATTTATAAACATATAAATCTTTTATTTAAATAATTTATTGCCAGATGAATAAAATTTATCTGTAATAGATAAAATACTGGCTGAATGGATACACTGAATATTTATTACCATATGTATACAGGTCATACAGAACTGATTTTTTTTCTGAAGTCACAAGCACAACCAAGTCAGTAAAACATGAGCATAGTTGTTCCTCATGGGCATACAAATGGAACAGCAACTATATGTTATCCTCTCCCATCTCAAAATACCAAAACCATGTCTACAGATAATTCTCTTATTATTGATACTGTGATGTGAATGCTGCGTAAACTGCCCTAAGTGCTTGTTTGTAGGAAGAGATCATCAGGCCTCAATCAAAGTTTCTTCCCCACTATTTGTCAAACAGTGTTTTTTAAGAGAAGCTCTACCTTTGAACTCACCTTCACTTTAATAATTTTGCTCTTGAAGTTGTTGAGAACAACACTAACTTCACTAGCTTCAGGTGGAGAGTCTGTGCCATCATGGCTGAAAATAGAGTAAAATACTGACCTTTACTACAATGCAGAAATGTGTTCTTTTTCTTCTCTGTATTTTTCTACATGGTTTTAAGCCTTAGCATTGTAAAACAGGTTTGAGACATGGAAATGAAACAAAAGTATCTGAACATACACTTACTGTTTTTTTAAAATGAATTAATTCCATTCATCTCACGTAACTTATGTTCAGTACAAAATGTACCTTGCTGTTCAGGACACTACACTGTGGCAAGGGAACTTTTAGATTCACATACTACAATGCCTACCTAGCTCAGAAGTTTCACAAGACTGAATTAGTGCTTTAACTGTCCTACCTGTATATTCTGTAGATATCCTCAGATCTGCCCTTTCTCAGTCTTAGAGTCCATGCACCAGGATTAGCTTTTAACTGGAAGTAGCCCTATAAGGCAAAAAGAATGTTTGCCAGTTTCCAGAAAACACAAATGTAGAAAACCAAGTTTTCAAGTCATGTATTTTGACCCACTGCTTTAAATCTGGAAATAGTTATTTGTAAGCCAGCTGATTAACATAAATTTAAGGCATTAAAGTCCTTAAAAACAGGAGAAAAAACAAAACAGAAGTTCTATTCAAAACTATTCAATGTTGTTTTTTTCCATTGGTGACAGGCATATGGAAAAGTCCAGCATTATTTGATAGATGAGAGTCTTCAGGGTGCCTTGTTTGGAACAGTGCAAGCTTTTTTATGCAAAAGCTTGTCTTCATGAGGGAGTAAGTGGATTTCAAAATACTCATTGGTAACTACAGTCCAGTGCATGAGAAGTCTGCCTACAAAACTAAATCTAAATAATTTTTAAAGCTCTACAGACTGGTATTTCATGTACAACAGCAAACAGTAACATAGTTCATATCATAAAGTTACAGGTATCTTTTCTGCAGAACTTAAGAAATTACAATGTGAAATGCAAATTTTGTATATACATGTTGTTGGAGTTTGAGGTTCCAGATCTGAACATTTTCTTCTATGATTTAGACTGTTGCACCTATAGAAGATATGAATATTTGTAGTCATGCTTCTATGTCCCTTCCAGTTTTGGATTGTGCATGCAATTTCATGAACCAGTCTGCTTTCTATAATATACATATATATATATAAAAAATACAAACTCATAAGAAAAGCCCAGGGCATGTTCCTGGTCTTTTCATACCCCTTCACCCCTGGACTTCCATCACCTCTCCTCAACTAAATTAAGCAATTCCCATTCTTTCATACTTCTGCTATTTTCTAGAATGTCAGCTATTCTTGCTGACTCTCTCCGTATGTTCCACAGGCCTCCTGAAAAAATGGGCCCCAAAACAAGCCAGCTGCCCACCTGAGGCTTACAGTACCAGAATGGATGGTCTAAGGAGTGCCCTGTCTAGACCTTCCCTGGAAAGAGGTTGCTAAAGAATATTGGCATCATTTTAAGATATTCCCGAAGACCCTTCTCGGCAAGCTGCAAGGAAAGGAGTACATCTTGAAAAACCTAAGAGACATCTAAGTACACTGCAAGCTTTTAGACATCAGTGTTAGGAATGATGTGGTTCCAATACATTTGTGAGCAACTCTGTAGTGTAAGTAGTGCCACATATCCATAACCCACATACTAGAAAGTACTTCAGAGTTTATGCAAGTGATTGTGCGGACTGGAGGACCAGTTATTTGCTGCTAGTTTCAACTGAACGCTTACCAAGTTGGCCATAACAATGGTATCAACGATGACTGGAGTGGTTGAAGTTCCTAGTGTAAACTGGAGTCCCCGAGGTGGCTGTCCAGTTGTAATATCATAGCAGTGTCCTTCCAGAAGCAGATACTCCAATTCATATTCTGCAGCTACAACACTGTCCACCTGTAAGGAAAAGATACTGTTGAATTCAGCACTAGCTCAAAAGTGCAAATTTTTAGTGATTCAGGTACTCTCTAAGATAGTCAGAGTTATTAAATAATACTTAATTTTACCAGCATAATTTTATTAAGCAAATACCTAAAAAGGCTCAAAGAACTCAGCTCCTTAAGTGACAGATTTCACACACACATTCTTAAGAGTGTCTCTGACCAAAAAGAGTTGAATCTCAAGTGGTAAGATGCTAGGGTAAGAAAAGCGAAGGACTGTTGCTCTATTTTACTATTTATATTTTAAGCATTTTATTGGAGAATGTAGTCAAGCGAGTGATAGGTCTGGCATCTCATAAAAAGTTATGATGGGCTCCAGGACTTTGAATCTAAACTTGTTTAAAGGTAGTCTCATCTAGTATTTATCATCTGAAATAAATATTTGTTTTGCACTGCATTACTCTTTACAGAGTGCTAGGGTACTGTCAGAAATACCAGTTCCATTTTTCCTACACCAAAAAGTGCCAAGAAAAGTAAAAAAAAAAACACCAAACCCAACACAAAACCAACTTAGATCCCTACCAGGCTAAATTCAGCTGTAGCTTGAGAACACTACATAACCAAAACATCAGTCTGGTCTCACAAAGCATCTTCTGCCGTTGCACATCCAAAATGACAGTTTAATTGCTACAGCACCAACAGGCTGCATATGAGGAATTAGAAATTGTGCACCTGCAAAAGTAAAGCTGCTGTTTATTTGGAGGCTTTGGATGGTACTTCAAATGCCTGAAGCATTTAATCCCCCATTCTCTCATTTCAGTTAATCTAAGATAGGGCATGGGAGTCAGGCTTGAAACATGTAGTAGTATCAGCCATTTGGTGGTTCATTTATGGTTTTACAGTTAAGAGATGAAAAGCAAAAAAAAACACCTAAACCCAAACAAAACTAAACAAGAAAAATAAACCACACATGAACAAACACCTGATTTCCTAAATTTTGGAATAACTAGTACAGGATTAGTAATATTGGACTCTCCCACTATACTGCATCATATTCCCAAACAGTATCACATGCAAAAGTAAGAGGAAGTTAATAATATAATGTTCAGTGAGAAAGTAACGCACATTTGTAGTGACCACAAGGTTATCCAGAGTGTTGCTTTTCAAGAGGCCAGTTTTAAACGGTTTGACAATCTCATCACACGTATGGCAGATAGATATACATATATGCAGATTATATAGATATATCTGCAGTTCTTCAAGGGCAGTGAAATAATGGCTTCTTTCAGGACATAAGACTATTTGACGGCCTCATTTAACATTTATTATTGTAACATTGTACCGTGATACCCAGAATTTTCTACTTTGTATCACACACAGATTTTCTAATATTGAATTGGTTTTGGTGCCCACCATGACTTGTTAGCGTAGTGCATTTTGTAATCACTGACCAGCCCACTATTTCTAGAGCTGAAAACTAACCTCTTGCTGTTAACTACTAACTTTAATGATTATTAGCACTGAATTATCCATCCCATTAAAGATTAGTGAAAAATCATCAACTTGTACATACAGATGTTCTTTTTTCCTTTTTAAGCTCGATTTTCTGCTCAACATCAGCCCCTTCAATCTTTCTTTCCTTCTTATCTTATCCCTATGTATGTGGGGCAGCACTGCCCAGATGATTATTCTAACAGTCTAATTCAAGGCCTGTTCTGGCAGCACTCAGCTCCTAAACCTACTGCAAGTGAGTGGATTTCAGCTGGACCAGTTTTACGGTTTTATTGATACTGCATATGCTTTTGTGGGCCACAGGAAAGTTTGTCAGTAACAAAAGCTGTGAAGGCGAAGGGGAGCTAAAACCAGTTTGGTGGCTTCTCAGAGCAACAATTTACTCTCTGGAAGAGGACTTAGATCTTACTTCAGTCTTATTTTTAGCTGTGCCATGAGCTGTAGGGAGCTCTAATCCCAAAAGAATTCCTCAACTAGCAAACTGGAGTTATTTTAATACCCAACGAGTTTCTTTGTTTCTAGCTCAGGACACTCTGAAATGTTATATACACACTCAAAGCGTCTGTAGGAGCTGCTTCAGTCCTGCAGTATTTTTCAACCTGTGATTCAGGCACCCATGAGTAATTGAGAATAGTGAACTTCAGTTTACCTGCATTCCATCTAGAAAACACGTAGGGTGCAAATGTAAAAGGTGTTAATATCCACAGTTCTATGTTCAGCAGCATTTTAAAATTCCGTATTTCTTTCCCATTACAAAAATAAGCCCTGGAAAAATACCATATAAATGCAGTATTATAAACATATTGATTTCTCTTACCTCCACTAAGTAAATATTATCAAGGTCATATGGGGTTCTAACAGATTCCACCATCCAGCTCTCGGGAGTATTTAGGTTTAAAGTGAACAATGGAGATTGGGGCATATCCAAAAACTTCGCAATTGGTCCTGGAGCAAAGTTGTTATCTGCTGTGAAAGAAATCTCTGGCTCCAAAACATAGCGATAAAAGCTGCAATTTCAGAAAGAAAATGTTAGAACATATTTCTGCCAAACTTTGTAAATATTCCACTCTAAACTGAACTTGCCGATGGCATCGGCTTTCCCAGAACTCCAGTGTCTCCAAGGCTTTGTCCAAAGCAACACAGTTTGTGCTGACCTTAGAACAGATCACAGTGTTCATCTTGAAGGACCAAACAGAATGTGCAAGACTCAACCATTAAGATTAGTAAAAGTTAACTTTATCTATATAAATAATAATAAGTATCCAACTTGTAAACTAGCAGAATTACCTTGAGCTATGCACAAATTCCCAAATTCTCTGTGGGAAATGATGCTATATATAAACAAGCTCAATGCAGTTATTGAGACGTCCTCTAAGATGCCTGACCGTGTTTCTCTCTTCTTCCAAGAGGTTTTTCTTTCTCTCTCCTGTTGACCCTGGCATTGCTTACCTTTTCAGTGGCATGTCAGAAAGCCTGGACTGGCAGTTCATAAACACTCTTAGGTTCATATTTATCAACTGGTTCAAAACCTAAAGTAATGAGAAAAAGACATCCCTTAAAATGCTCACTAGGAAAGCTGATGACTGTTTTCACAGACAGGACCTCCAGGAGGCATGTTACCTTCTCATTCTTCATCCTCCCTTCTCATTATTTGCTTACCACACCCAACTTTAAATTGATGTTTTTAAGAACATCTGCCTGCTCCCTCACATTGAAGGCATTCTATATGAGATGTAGAGACTTTCCTCCTCAAGAACAGAGTCACTGCAAACTAAACTGTTAAAATGGTGGAACTAAAAGCTATCTAGACAATATCCAAGCATCATCTTGTTGGTGTGTAGTATAGTGTAACTGTTTTCACTAACAAATGGTGCAACTCTGAAGGCACTATCAGAAGGCCACAGGTCACCACCCAGTCAAGGAAGACACACATTCCAAAATCCCAGACCTGAGACAACGTTCTGAAATGGCCATAAAATGCATCACAACATCACATGCATACCAGAAGTAACGGAGCAAGTCTTTGAGCATCTCTGGTCACAGGATCAACTATAGCCACAACATCAAAGTATGTCTCCCCCTCTTTTGGTCTCAGTTTAACTGCACTAAACAGAAGAAAAAACATTTTTAAAGTATCAAACATATGGGTACACATAGGAAAAAACACTGTCTATCTCATTCTGAAGTCAAATTACTTCCTAAATGCTATGTGCCTTCTGAAACTAGTTAGAGAAAAAAATACACGTGTACATGTATATAGGTAGACAGATAAAATTAATTTCTGGAATCTCACTGTGCCCTAAAAACTGTTGGAAACTTCCCTACTGTTACTTGGACTTTTTAAGTTAAATGCAACATAAAACAATGGGAATGATAAAAGACAAAGAAGAAGCATATTGCTCAGCAAATGCCAGTAATCCTATACCTGTATCGTTCTTCAAAATAATGATATTCAATCCTTGCCTCTCCTTTTGGTTGAGCAGAAAGAAGAGCATCCACTCTCATGACCAAGTCACTTGCACTGAAAAGAAAGAAGGGGGGTAGGGGGAAGTTTACAGATACTCAGAAAAAAATGATGCATGTACTGCTGCCAGTTAGCAGCAAAAGAGAGGCAGACTGAATTCAGATAACACAAGCTAACACTTCTGCTATACCTCTCTACAGAAGCGCTGAAGAATTAAACATATTTAGGGTTAATCTGCCATTGATTTAAACAGGTTGTGGCCTTATTACTAAGGGTACCAAAGAGTCTGACTCTATGACAGTTACATAACAGTTTATTTCAGGGGTCAACCATGCTACAGGCACTGCATTCCTGAACTTCACCAACCTCTCTTAGACCTGTAAGCCATTTAGATCAAACCCTCATTTCACAGCAGTCTTCCCATTTTACACTGCAGCTATAAGAGCTAGGAAGCAACCCTGTATGTGGTGAAACTTTTGAGCAAGAGGGGGCCTATCACAAGAAGAGATTTAATTACTTCTGACAACTTCCTCCTTTTAATTATTCCCATAAATTTTCAGTCTGATATTTTAAGAATACATTTTGAAGATTAAAGACAAAACCTCTTGAAAGTTCAATGAAAATTAATTTGTACATCACAGCTTTGCCAAGAAGCAGGCTGTAACTTATGTCTGTCAGCTTTTCCTGAATTAATTAATTCTCTTGAATATACAGTGACAGCTGACTTAAATCACCAGCCAGAGTGTACTTGATAAAGCTTTCTCCAGGCTGCAGTCAGTTACATTATCAGAGTACTACCACTTTTTTCACTTATACTTACAGATCTTCTTCGAATCCCAGCTGCTGAATCTGAGATTTGATTTTCTGTCCTGATGTCTTTAGAATGATATTCTCAAGGAGATGAAAATCATCCTGATTGAACATCTCACCATCCTCTAATGGGCCAATCATCTACAAACAAAAAAAGGCAGGATCAGCATAATTAGGTAAAGGCAACATTGAAACAAAATTCAAAGATACTTGAAATAAATACTTCAGCCTAGTATTGGTGGGTATTAACCGTTTAGGCTGGTATTAATGTCAACAGCAGCAGAGTTTAACAAATAAATCTTTACTGTTTAGAGCCAAGAATCCCAGACTAAGGCATAAAATGTATACTTAAAACTTTCACTGAGTGCTTGGTTTGCAAAAGTCAGCCATCTTAAATTATACCTGAAGTACTACGTCTTGAAGGGGCAATATAACATGAGGCCAATTCCAGCAGTCCTGCAGGACTCCAGCAAATCTTACTCCTCTAGCCTTCAGAACCTAAAAGCTACCTAGACTATTCCTGCTATTTTACTAATAAGAGAAAAAAAAATACCACAACTCATCACTTGATTTATTTTAACCCGTTGAAGTATACAGTGACCACTGGAACATAGGTTTTTTTTTCCCCTAACTAGGAAGCAGAACACAAAAGCAAGCTTAATGCTGTACACAGATGGGTTTCATTACTTGCAGTGAAATACTGTTGTAACATCATTTTCTTAACCTAAAGCTAAATCTATTGTAAAAAGAGCCAGTGGAAGAGACTAGGGCACCTTGGTCAGGACCAGAGAGAGCAGTGTTTTGCCCAGTGAATTCTAGCAGCACAGTCTTTGAAATTTATCATCCCTTTGCACCCCTGGACTCAGTTTACTGCCAACATGAAAGCAACTCTGTTACTGAGAGAGCTGAATTTATGCAAAACACCAACAACTAACTGCACACAGTACAAACAACTGGTCATGCAGGTCTGAATAAATCAAACTGGAAGCAGTCCTAAAGACTGATGAGACCTACAGGAGGCTGGGACACTCTATCTGATCCCTAGACCCTGTGGACCAAGGTCTGCTTCTTTCCAGCATGTGCAATATCTCCTTTACTGTCTGGTGATTAAGCTCACCCTTCCATTGCTGATCACAGCCCTCTGCCCTTTCTTCAGCTTTAGAACATCTCTGCAATATACAGCATGAGACAGAATAAAATCCACCTTGGGAGATTCAAAGGCTTCTTTGAAAATATTGGTATCCATACCCTGAAAGAAAAGAATATTTGACATTGAAATTGAAAGAAAGGTACAACTTTGCACAGTTTGTTTAAATGCACCCTGTTTGTTCCCATTCACAAGCATCTTTGTCTTGCTTAAATTTATCCCCAGTCCCTTTTCTTTGGTGTCTTACACCTTGTTCTTGCCTACCACCTTGAAACATCCCAACTTCTGACACAGCCCTAGTAATTGTTGCTGCTTAGACCAGTTGCTCCATTCTTCTGTTCTTAAATGATTTTTGCCTCTTTTTAAACCTACTTGGAGAAACCCAGCTTTTTAGAAGGATTATAGTTCTCTCTTAACCCCCCCAAGAAACACCTGGCTGACTCAAATTGATCCCTGAATCTGCATTCCTGTTTGCTTTTCAAAGTTACATAGGTTTGATATGTGTGAGGATTTACTTTATTTTTAGATGGCCTGTTATGTTTAGGTAAGTCTGCCTTTCGGAACAAAAAAAGAACAGCAGCAGCAAACCCAACAGTGTTACTCTCTTTTGTCGCTGCACCTTTTGCATATGAACATACCACACTAAAACAGTCATTAGAACAAGTGAGGTACCGTACCTTTGTAATTGCCAACAAACATGCTTACCCCAACAGCAAATTCTAAGATGTCAGCTCCTGCCTCTAGTGCCTTTGCAGTTTCTTCTTTGGCCATTTTGGTGATGAAGTTCTTGGCATTATTTGATGTTTGTGTCTGTAGAGCTGCCCATATGGCTTTAGCGACAACTGTATTCTGGCTATTTGGATCATTACTAGGATTATTAATCATGCCAATTCGAACATTGTTGCTGGATTTCTGTGTTTAACAAAACACGCATTAGGAAAGGTTTAGAGTTCAGGTGTAGTTTAAATGAGAAGACTATTACAATAAACACTATAGGAAAAGCTTTTGTATTTCTTAACCAGAAAACAAGATTCCAAATTAGGTAGATAACAGCAGAAGGTTAAAAGGATGAGTGAACTAACTTAACATCAAGTATTTAATTTACATGTAGGCACCACTGTAATCTCCTGTAGATAATACTGTGTTACACAAGAGACCAGGGACCATGGCCACCACTAAGAGGTCTGGCAAAACAGTGATTCAGGAGTGCTATTTTTATAATTGTTACCTTCCCAGAACAAAGGAAACAGGGAACAATGCTCATGTTCATCTCCAAACCAAAACACAGACCTCTCCAATTCTGGACCACGGGCTTAGAAGAACAACTTTTCTGTTTTTGTGTTATCATAGTGCCAGGAGGGGGTTTTGTCCTAGTACAAGAAGGTCAGTGATATCCCAGCCTCTACAGATAAAATGAGGCTGCAATTTAGAAAAGCTGCAGGGAGAACCCATCTCCCCAGGGCATACAATAGGAAGAAGCACAACCTGTGTTTTTCAAGCTTCTACCTACTGCTTTATTAGCACTGCTAACCTGTTCAAATGAAAACATCACCTACCTGATGTTTAATTGCATCATACAGTAATTGCCTTCCTGAAGGTTTATCAAAATCACCAACAATCCAAAAAGTAACTGGTCTAACGAAGGAGTCATCTGCAATTTAAAACAGGTGGGAGAAATTTGAGGGTAAAGGGAAGGAAAGCTTCAGGTTTTCCTCATTTGGAGGAAAAGTATGATGCACATGCAGAGATTTCAAAACAAGTAAGATTACATAGGAAGGCTGTGGATGAAGCTAAGCAATGATGTTTGGCAAGATAAACGTAATAGTATTGGTATTACATTGGTTTCATTTGCCTCATTCAAAAAACCCACCTGGGACAACATGCATCACTGTTTCTAAGCTCATAATTTTTTGTTTGCTACCTTTTTGATTTAGAAAAAATAAAGGAACCTATAAATAGAGATTCCAGCTAGGGTACAACATTCTGCTTCTTTGTACTGAAGCTGTTAGTTCCCAAAATCAGTTTTGCATAGAGAAAAAAGTGCTGAAGCAAACATGCATTTAAACGCTTGCTTCATTTCCTGCTGGTTCTAAAGCCAGTGTTATAAAGGATCCAGAATATTCCCAGAACAACATATAAAATGCTAAAGCATGAGTTACCATAGATCTCCTTGGAAGACATTCCTGGTCAAAAAGCAGAAAGGAAAGGGGGAGAGGAGAGAAACATTAATAATATGATAGTAATCCCAAAGTCCATCAAGAAGCTGCAGCACTGAACAGAACATAACTGAATCACTAGAGTTGAAGTCCAGCAAACAACGAGTTTGTACTAACTTTATTAGAATAATCTTTGATTTTTTTTTTTGTTCCCCTCAAGTAGATCAATGCTTTATTTTCATGCTACAGCACTAATTATGCTACATATTACCAGTTCCATACCATACCATAAAGATGGCATTCTGAACACCCTTTGCAAAACTGCCATGCCATGACAACTTGGATGTTACCCATTTATGTTCTCTTCCCTCTTTAAAAGCTATCCAAATGGTGCTGTTTCAGTACTGTTGCTGAGCCAGCAGCTTGTATAACTTTCTTACTATTTTAGAAAATAAATGTGCTACGGAATTGCTGTAATCAGATATTAGTTATTAAATATCTTAAGTGACCAAAGAGGCAGTAACCCAAAACTGTCAAGCTATGCAGACTTTCACATGAGAATGCAGGAGTGTAGGTTTAACTAATAATCTACAAAGGAAAAACAAGAAACTTGTTCACATCAAAGTGACTGAACATGAACTGCAGGCAATCAGGAGACAGGAGCAATAGGAACATCTAAGGCAGTGGATGCAGGTGGCAATGGCTGGAGATAGTACTGGTGAAACTTATGAGAGTCTAGCAATGACAGCAAGTAGAACAAGAGGTATCGGTTCAAATGACAGCAGCTTATTTGTGATACTTAACTGAAATGGATACCGGGAAGGCCTGATTAAGTTCTGTATTATGTCTGTGCATGCATTTCGTACATTGAGAAGTACAGATGAGATTTAGCACAAGACTGTATAACTGCAGTAGAAGAATGTTGTCATTGAAAACAAGCAGTACATGCACTGGAGCAAAAAAACTAGCACAGACCACATTAGGTGTTGTGTTATATAATAGGCAGTAACAATTTTCTTCTGAATCCATGTAACTTTAAGTAATTTTGAGTTATGGGATGGAGAGTTACAATCCCTTTTGTATTTTCTAGTCTGTGTCACTGCAGGATCAGAGCTCATGCTGTTGCATTTCTGGCAGTCATGTGCAATATAACATGAGCAGGTTGGGTAGGACTTCAGTATTCATTGAAGGCTGGGCTGGGTTTAAAGCAGAGAACATTCTTGTTTCACCCTTATAAAAAAAAAGTAAATCTTTAACACTTGGAGTGTGCCATTACCCACAGACCTGACCAAAGCTCAGCATGTGTGTTGAGAACTGTACTCATGCTGGGGAACACACATAAAATTAGATTTAGGTTCATAATCCACTGCAGATGTTACCTTTCTTTGTTAAGTAGGTCATGCTGTTTGCAACAGCAGATGTCTTATCTTTGGAGTCCAATGTGGTAAATCGAGCAAAGTCATCTACATAAAAGTTACCTGAGGAAGAGAAAAAGTATTAGATGCCAAAGCAACTATTCCCTGTAAAATTAAAGAAAAATCACTACTATTACTAGAACATTAAGAACACATCCCATTTTGTTCCTTGCAATTTTGCTTTTTATGTTTCAGTTCCACTCTTAAGCTGAAGAATATATTTCTGTTGTCTCATAGGTTACCTTTTTGTCTCCTAAGTTACATTAACTACACAGCATATTTGATATGTAGAATATGCAGAAGTCAATTGAAAGAACTGTTCAAGTCTCACTTAGTTGAAGTTAATTTATGTAAATAATATACATTTAAAGTCCACTGTGTTACTATTTTTCAAGCAGCTCAAAAAAAAGCAATTTTAGAAGTCGTTTTGCTGTGCTGTCAGTATTCTGCAGAGTCAAACCACCGGCTGTTAATACATTTAGACATGACAAGTTCTAAATCTTAATTGCAAAGATGACTGTCAATCTCTGCTCAAAAGAAGGTTAGAAATAAGAACCAAGCTGTTGCTGTATACATCATATGCCTGTACTTGGCTTTTACTAGCATTGCTGATTTCTCAGCCTCATGAGTCATATTCCCCTAAAGGTTTATATAAAATCAAACCAAGATCCTGTTTTGAAAAATCCGTAGATATTAATGTTGGTGTTGTACACAACATCTCTCCTCGCCCAGGGCTAGAACATCACTTGGGGTGCTATTAATACTTTGCCACTAGACCTTTCCATTGGGACAGCAGAAGTATTTAAATTGGATATATCAGGTTTAATGCAATTAAAAGCATCCCTTACTTATTCCTGTAAAATCTAGGTACTCTCTGTCAGACATTAAAATTCTTGAGTTAATTCTTGGAACAACATTAGGCTGGTTCATGATGTATTCAACCACATCTTGGTCATTAGATAATTCACCCTGAAGGAAGAAGAAAAAAGCAGTATTAGTTATTTCACATGTTTATTTGCCTTAATAAGGTAAAACATTCACACCCCCCAAACAAATACCCACATCCACCAACAGAAACCCAAACCAAGAACTGATGCAAGTTAAGCTGTCTTATGTATTATTTATTCAGGGTCTTTTGAGTTAGTTTTTTCCCAATGTTTATTCTCTCTAAAGTCAGAGCTGAACTCTGCACCTACCAGGTACACAGCTCGCTGGAAGATGCTTGTCGTTTCCAGGATTTTGTGCATTGTCACAGTTTCCAGATCATCAGGATCCAACTGATCTTTTTGAAAAGGCATTCCATTGAACAGCACAACAGGGAGAGGACCTACACCCGTTTGCTCATAGTAACCTCTTGCTGCCTAAATACAGGGAAAGAAGTAGCTTTACCACATCAGCCCATTACCACAAGGGTTGACAACATCTGCTTGCAATATCCACGAGTCTTTGCTAAAGACACTGAGATGTCTTTCTAACCTTCATATCATATTTAGAATACTAATTTTATGCAGTGCATAAGATGTTTTCTGTATCTTATATGTACAAGATGGCCTTGTCTTTCAGAGTTTCAAAGGAAAAAAACCTTACTTCATAATACAGTAGTGCAAAATATTCCATAAGCTCAGACTGTAAACAGATTAGTTCCAATGAGCACTTTCCGGTAGTAACAGAAAAATGCACAACAGGAAACCTGACTTTGCATATGGAAGCAAATGCAGTTGTAATGTAAGACGGCATAGAAGGTTTTCATTTCTTAGGAACATGTTTCTACTTGGTTCTAGTGCTGTACATACAGATTTTTAAAAATATGTATTACAGTATATAAAGCTTTCTGCTGAACATAATTACTGAAGTATTACTACAAGTCACTCAGTGTAACAATGAAGCAGGTACATGGCTTTGGCTTGTAAGAGAACTGGATCACGAAATTGGACGTAACTATATTTCTAAAACAGTGTTGAAGCAAAGAAAGTGAAAACCCCTCTAATTCCTGAATTCTTACCTTTCTGTTTTGATCATAGGCAGAATCAATTCCCAGAATGCTGTTGATTTCCACATAAGGATACTGTTTTTCAAGAACACTAACCACATGCTCCACTTTGAGCTGATCTCCTGTTTTTACTTTGTTATATATCTGAAAAGGGGATACAAATACAAGTTTACAGCTGCAACTGTAAAGTGTCTGTTCTTATCAAAGGTAAGCTGACCTGCCATCTGTGTTCCAGTAATTATAAGGAGGCATTAAGAGCAAGACTGCAAAACGTGTATTTGTGTTTATTAGCTGCAATAACAGCTCCTAAGTACTTGTAGTGCTTAGAATTATCTTGCTTTTACCTTGTCATTCTAGTGAAATTGGAAGGAGGTAAATATAATGTATTTCTTTATGTAATAACTTGCATCTTTAATTAGAAAAGTTATTTGAGGGGGAAAGGTAGTGCTTGGGGGGGGAACAGGCTCAAGTAAAGCATATCCAAAGAGCTACCCTTCCGTTTCAGAACCCAAGACATGTTTTTAAACAATATAACAGACCTCACATGTAAAGCAGGTAACTGGTTCCCTCTTGAAGGTACAAGATTTTACTTTGACTTACATACCAAGTCAAATGAGAATAAAAATAATTTTCTTAAGGTCACCATCAGTTTAAAGTTACAGGATGCCCCAGATTGCTGATTTGTACAACAGTGTCAAACCACAAGCAAAAATGCATTTACTTAGCACATAGATTATGCTTTGACGTGGCAAAAGTATGCAGCAGGAACTGTTCAAAACAGAATATAATATTGAAGGGATAGAGCGGTTTAGAACTGACTGACAGAATGAGCGAAGGAGCAGGATCAGAAAAATGCGTAAGTGTTAAGTGTCACATTATACCTCCTCTTGCTTGTTAAAGTTAGGTCAGAAGCACTTCACAGAGCAGCATGTGTTGTGTGGTACTAGTGTTTAGAGGTACTCTGAATGCTAACGCTCAGAATTTCTTCCCTTATCTACATATTGGCACATTAGCATAGTCTCACGTACACAGAAAATGTTAACATGTTAGTTTCCATTTTAAATGAATACTTACAGACATGACAGTCTGGAAAGCGTAATTGTTGTCCATTTCTTGTGCCACGTAATTGTACGTCCTAAGGAGGGCAACACCTGGATCCTGAAGTCCATCAACATCCTCTGAGTCATTAACCACAAAGACTAGTCCTATCCTGCAATCAAACAAACCTTCAGATCATTAAGCTATTATACTAATAAATAATTGATTCTGCATACAACTGTCAGCTATGATCAGCATCTTAGGCAAAGGAGTCTTTTGGAATAGACTGATAAGATTTCAAGCACAGAGGCCAGCAATCAAACTTAGGACATACAATCTCTAACAGTGAGTCCCATCAGAGTCTTGCTTTTCATCTCTCTTTTATCTAATGTACTTGCTTTAACTTTCTTTTGGACTGTTAAAGAAACTGAACTCTGTTTTGCGAATATCAAAAGTTACATTAAAAAAGAAAATGAAATAAGAACCAATACTTAGTAAATGTACTCCCCAGCCACCAATACAAAACATGGAACTTTTCTATAGTGTTCTAGCAATAAGAATTTTACACTTGCGAACGTCAGAAAAATAAAAGTCATGTAAAAAAATTCCAGTTAAAACACAGCAGTTACCTCAGTGGGATGTGGTTACTGAAGAACATCTCTGCCACATTCAGTAATTCTGCAGTGGTCTCGTGAACAGGATCTACTATCAGCACCTGTGTACAAATTGCCAGTGAAAAGTCTCTATTCCCTTAAGAAGTTTTTGATTAGAGATAGCTTCATTCACGTTTCAGTGCAGAATTATCATCAGTCCTACTTAGATGAGGCCTTAATAGTTTCTTCTAAAACCTTTAGGTCCATTATCTAAAATACCCAGTCTAAACCACTCCTTTAACTAGAAAAGATCAGACTTCTTATGTACTTTGTGTCTTTACCCCAAGTATATGCTAGCATCTAACTTTCTGCCTCTGTGAGTACACAAATCCACCCTTAATTAATGCAGTCTTAATGAAGTGCATGGGAGATAATCTGTTGGAGTTGAGGAACACAGCACTGCTTTGCTCAGCCCCCTGGAGAGCTGATGCTGCTAAGACATTCTCAAAGCAAGCCCAAAGCCAGGGAGAACCAGGCCATTCAGAATAAATTTAGGGCCCTTTATTCATGCCAAGTGTTGTCTTTTCATTCAGTTTCAATGTTAGAAGTAGTAAACTCCAGAGAAAAAGATAACGTATTACTACTGGCAGTTTGAGGTGATTCAAGTCCCTGTTTGCCACTAATCACAGGAGTCCTTTTTAATATAGGGCCACATTTATGTAATTTACAAAGTCCTTATTAAATATGATTTTAAGCAGTTTACCTAGAGACTAAAAGGACACCCAGGATTAAGATGAGGGCTGCTGACCATGTTTTAAAGTCTTGGTGCAAGAATGCTTTCCCACTGAAGTACCTGAAGTTGGTCTTGACCCTGGCTAGATGCTACTGATTACCAAATTTGAGGATTCCACAGAGTTGAAATGCACTGAATTCTCACTCAGCAGATGATAGTTTTTTCCGCTGATGAAGCGATTTTTGGCAGCTAATAGATGCCAGAATCATGCTCAGTAATCTCTGAATCTCAGACACAACTTACTAGTACAAGTAGAACAAAACCTGTTAGAAAGACTACCCATCTCAAGATATTTAAGTGACAGGGAATGTAGCATATATGTAGTAGGTAAGTCGCAAAAGCTAATGTCCCTGCTGTTGAAAAAACAACACACATTTCATTTCTAGTCAGGTTATTACTTACGAAATTATGGAAGTTTTTTCTGATTTGTCTGATCACACCTGGAAACGTGGGACGCAGCAGTTCTTGCACATTGGAAGGCCAGGAATTATACCGACTGTCAACTTCCAGATTATTGATCCACTGAGGAAAAATAGAGGCATTTAAATGATTGACAGTCCTCCTGCTAATATATATATATATGCTGAAAATATCCTGCTGCTATTTTCAAATCAGACACTATATTGAGATCTGTATGAATAAAATGTTACGCTTTTTAAAAAGAGCTAATTATATCTTTCTTTCTTTCTTTACTGCAGTTTCAGAGCCGATGGTGAGATAAGAACCCAAGTTCCCATGAACAGCCCAACAACACATAAAATCGCTCTTCTAAAAAGCCATACGCACTGAAATAGCAGAGCTTCTAATGTCCACAGCATAATCAGAATCTGATGGCTGGATGTTCAATTTCAGAACATTGTGCAGGGAAAGCCCCTCAATTCCTAAGCTGTGTAGGCCTTCCATAACACGGGCTTCATTGCGCAGCACGTCAATCAAGCTGGAAGGAAAAGAGAAATCATTGATGAATTTTAAAGACAAGGTAAATAACTTGCTCTTACCCTAAGGGGTAATGTCTGTGTATTACTTCTTATTTCTTCCTATTTCTAACTGTCCTAAGAAGCTTGAACCAACTTAAACATACTCAATCACATTGTAGTTCTAGGTAAAACTACATGAAATAATTAAAGCATGATATACATATGTATTTCAATTCCACATTATTGGAGCAAATTTTAACCAAGAGGGTGGGTTTCAGATGAAGAATTTACAATGGTTTATCCTTTGAGAATCAGTCTGCTATCTTCAGAATTAAACCTGTGTGGTGACTGTCTTTAGAGACCAGAATCTTGCTATTCACAGCACAGATAAAAAGAATAGTACAAAGATGACCTCCCATTCCAGTCTTCAAGGGTATTCCAGTTTTCACATCTGTTTTTTTGTTAGAAATGCACTTGCATAAGAGAAGGAACCATGATTTGCTTTTTTCGGTACTTAACAATTAAACCTAGTCTAGATACAGACTTTGTGAGTAAGGTTTGAAATTGTCTAAATGACCTTATCATCCATGTACAAGCAGGATGCAAGCTGCTAAATAGGATAAAATTATTCTGAAAAATGTAACATTCCTACCTAAATATGTCCTGAGTGTCTAAATCAATAAGCAGTCCATTGATGAACAAGGCAGAATCTCCTGGTTGCAATCCTAATGTTCCTTTGAAATACTGAAAGAAAGTAGACAACATCAGAAGAATGCTCTGCACAAAAAAAATCATTACTAGACTGTTTAATGTGTTGAATTGTGGATTATATCTCCCTTATAGTGTTACAAATTGCATCACATTGCTTCTCAGCTGCAGTCTTGCCTGACTTCGTGCACACACCTGTACCAGATGAAAAAACAACTGAAACTATTTAGTGCATAGATACTTAAATTGGTTGTTTCTTTCTACATGATTCAGCAGTGCACGGGGAAGTCCCTGAGTTGACTTTTCAAATATACTCAGATGAAATAATTAAAAATACTTGTATTAGCTCTTTAATGTGCAGTTTTGGGCAGAACAGACCTAAAGAGCTGGATATTGCATGGTACTCTCTAGTAGAACTACTGTGTTTAAGGTACCAGTTAAGTCCTGATCTAGTGGATATGCCATCAAGTACAGGAGCTGCCATTGTAGTCTGACCTCCACAAAACCAGGAGGTACACCAATGGAAAAAGCCTTGCCAGTATTTTGGAATTACTGTCAGGTACCTCTAAGCAATACCCCATTTGAATGGGTAGTTGTCCCTGAATTGAAGCACCATAGAATCATAGAATAGTTAGGGTTGGAAAGGACCTTAAGATCATCAAGTTCCAACACCCCTGCCATGGGCACGGACACCTCACACTAAACCGTATCACCCAAGGCCTCACCCAACCTGGTCTTGAACACTGCCGGGGATGGAGCATTCACAACCTCCTTGGGCAACCTATTCCAGTGCCTCACCACCCTGACAGGAAAGAATGTCCTCCTTATATCCAATCTAAACTTCCCCTGTTTAAGTTTTAACCCATTACCCCTTGTCCTATCACTACAGTGCCTAATGAAGAGTCCTTCCCCAGCATCCCTATAGCCCCCTTCAGATACTGGAAGGCTGCTATGAGGTCTCCACGCAGCCTTCTCTTCTCCAGGCTGAACAGCCCCATCACACAGAACAGGTTTGAATTGGGAGACATGAATAAAACACAGTCCTCCTGGAACAGATTTCCCAACTCTAGCATGTTTAAAACCTGAAAAACAGCACTGCTTTCTTCAGTGCTTCTTCTCTTACAGTATCAGTTACAAAATACTGTGAAGAAGCATTATGAACACTGGAGGAGAAACATAGTATTTGTACACTGAAAAACACTAATATCATGAGGAATGCAAGCAAAGCAAACAGAGGAATAGTGAAGTACCAACAACAGGAAAGCAGCATCTAATTGGGAAGACTGTATGTATTTTATGAAATAGAGACTTCCAGAGAAGAGCTGACTACATGCAGTGTTGATTATCCACAAAAAGATACAATTTATATAGTAAACTATAACTTACTGATAGCAGTAAACTTCATTATCAAATAATATCCACACAAACTGAGTCATGCAATGAATAGCCTTAAAGGGCAGGGTTAGATCTAGCCAGATCTGGATCTAAACTTTGAGTAAAAATGAATCCACAAAATCATGAATTTACCTGTGGACCAGTCTGATCTAACATGTAACAGAAAAGCCACCAGGTAGCTTTCATTTGCATTTACATTCTATACCCTTGTCCCTTCCAGAACCACACTGGATGACAGCGTCAAACCGCATACCTACTTTTCTGATTTTATCGCTACTGAACAACAAGGGATTTCTCTTTGAGAACAGGAATCTCCATGGACTTGTAAGTAGATGTCAGGTAACTTGGCACTACTAGACTAGCCAAATATCATTTATTAGATAAACAAAGACATAAGTGTGTACTTAATATACTTTGTATTTTTCCTATTAATACCAAGCGAGACTGAAATGTACGAATAGATCAGTGTAGATCATACAGTAAAAGCTGTTGTTTGGCTTTGTTTTCATTGCCATTTTAAACTTGCATTTTGCACTCTATCCAGACTGCATTACCAAGGCTATTTTAACTGTACAAAATGCTGCCTGTAGAAAATTCCCAACTGGCTACTTTTTTATTTGCCAGTGCTTTGCTAATGCCAGGTACACAACAGAGCTGTCGAAACATTTTTCTGCAACACCAGAGCCTACTCAATGACCTCAGGGTCCTTCACAAGCCCATTTTTTTGTGTTCCCATTTCAAAGCACGTGTACTCTTACTCGGATAGCTGCTAAATTTTATTCCTTCACTAGTTTCACTCTCAAAGCATTGGAACCATTTTCTTCCACAAAATACAAATCATTCTAAGCCATGGAAAAAGGGTTCAAATTTATTCTGTGACTTATACATAAACACCAGTGAATTTAGGAATCTAAGCACCATCTCAAATTGGGCAATGAGAACTACATTTCTTCTACATTCTCAGAACTGTGAGAAAATGCTTAATAGATCTGCTTTTTAAATAGCTTTCTGACAAGCTACATTCCATCTAGCTCAGACATTTTAAAATAATCTAAAAATATAATTACATTTTGACTCTAACAACTTCCACTAAAAAGCACTCACACTTTAGTATCCAGGTGCTTCAGAGAAGTCCAGAATACAATCCAAGCCTAACTTGAAGCCAACCTCTTTTTAACTGTTACACTGGACAAGCAGTGCTTATGGCATTCAGACATGACACATCTGCTTCAAGACTCAAATAAGAACTAGGTAAGAGACTGAAAGAAGGCCACCCAGCAGGCACAGTTCTTCAAGAAACACACTGTCTTTATAAAAGCTTGCTGGCAAGTCATCACTACGAACACGTAACTTGGAAACAAAGACTGATGTGATACACACATCACAATTTCTACCGCTTTGTTTTTGACCCAGTCCCATCCCGCAGATCACATTAAGACACTCTGCATGGAAATCCTAAGAGCACTTGCACTGTATGTTTTTTTTTCCTTCAGGGTTAACAACATAGTACTTTAATTGTATTGAAAGTTAATTTTACAAAGATAAATAAGTGGAGGTACCACATTCTTAATCCAGATACAGAACAGAAGGTCACTTTCACACACATGAACAAGCTTTTGTCAAATAACTATCAGAACACTTGACTTCCATTGTAGGGGCAGCTCTGCAAACAAAACCTCATATCACCATTTCCCAATACAGTCATCTCACTCAAAGAATTTATGACCAATATATTCATATTTGAGCATACAAGCCAAATTGTGTTCCTAATCCATGTCTGAAAATCCACCACTTTTTTAATTCCTAGATGCACACTAAGACACAGGTGTGTGTGAAAATACCAGCTCAATTTTTTGAGCAAAATGTAAACTTTTAAATAAAATCATTATTTTCAAAGTTTGAATTTACACTAAAATGTAAGTGCAAAAGCACTATGTTACTTTCTGGAAGCATTACCTTTTGGTTCTCTTCAATTTCTGCTCTGAGTTCCGAAGAAACAACTGTTTTCGTTATGGCTCTACATAAATAAAAACATCACATTGTGAATCATCTAATGGATAAATACCTACTTATCCTACTTTTTGTACCTCATCTATGAATATATTTAGTCTCCTAGTATAAAAACCTGCATTCACTTGCACTTTGTGGTACCATTAAACAGTAGGATGCACTATTTTTCCTTGCACTTTATAATTCAACAGAACATAAAATTGAGAACCACATGCCAAGTGCCAGTATCTAATTTCATATTAACTATAATAAAAGCAGGCAGCTGCCAAAAAGGTAGAGGTGGAGGCTGGCAGCAGAAAATACTGGGATTTCACTCCTCATGGTGGGTTCCCATTCCCTTCCTTACATTATTGTGTCTAGTAATTGCATCATCACAGAACAGGCAAGTACAGCTCACATACCTGACTAAAAACACAATGAGAGTGCAGTGCCTACTTCAAGAAGCTATAAATAGGACAAATCTTAACATCAGTTAGTGGGAAATCAGAATTCAGTTTCTTTTTATTTTCAGGTGTATCTTCACCTACTCAAAAAGGAGGAGCTCCTATAATAACATCTTCACAGCCCAGGTCATGTCATTTATCAGAAGAAATATATTTCTAGAGTGTTTGGGCAGGCCAGATTATGACTGAATTTCTTGAAATGAATTTGAATATGCTCAAGACATGGACAAAGTGAAAAAACCAGTTTGATTGCACATAAGTCTCTGACATGAGATTGACTGGGCATTTTGGCAGAGTAGATCCAGAAGACTGGGATCTAGTGAATGGATAAACCTTAAAGCCACCAAACAGAAAACCTATCCAATAAATTCTTGAGGACTTGATGCAAAATGTTCAGAAGCATTCACAGCAAAATACCATGGATAATTCTGTACATTTTACACCTGTCCACATGTCCACATCAGCTGCCATCCAAGAAAAACACTGTAAGAAATCCTCTTTGTAACCCTAGGCTGAAGAACTTCTCTGCACAAACATTCCCCAGTGTTTGCTTCCAGCCAAATGGAAACTTGGACAATGCTGCCTGTCTCAGGAAAAAGATAGTAAGAAAACTCCTTAGAACTCATAATTGAAGTTACCTGGCCATAGTAGGAAAGTTCTGACTCAGGTCTTTCATGACCATCAAAGCATCCACAGGGGGAGCAGTCAAAATGCGAGCAGCACTTTGAAAACTTAAATCTAGAAGTGAAAGAAAATAGAAGTTGAGAACTGTAAACTGAAAACAAGGCAGTGCAGTCATCTTCACTTTGGCTTTTGACTGGTTTTGCTCATTTGTTACCTATCAAAATTTGTTTTCTATCTGCACCTTTAAATACTTTAAAAAAAACCAAACATCTTCTTCCTTATGTTAACTTACATTTGTTGCCTTGAAGTAACACTTTCAAATGTTTCCTGTCCCCAGGTTGCTGAAATTAGTCCAGACCACCACCTTTTTGTTTTGGCTGAGGTGGGAGGATCTGCCCTTCAGAATCGGTCTGGGTACTTGTTAGAAGCTAGAAATCTACAAGCTAGAAATACAAACAGCTATCTGTTGGATATAAGTAGATTCTCTGTGACTGTAACGTATGCTCAGCATTTCCAGTTACTCTTTTTTTCCAGAGGACAAAAAGCTTTTCCACAGGCCTCTACAGATGATTCCCAGGAAAACAGGCCAGAGTTGTATATGCAGTTGCTTTTGAAATACAGTTTTTCTTTGGTGTTGAGAAATCTCAGCTTTCCACACCAAGCATGTGACCATGGAAAGAAACTGCATTTCCTTTGCTTTTCTGCATTTAGCAGATCGTACAGATAGTCAGTTAAAGAGCAGGTGGCTTACTGTACTTCACAGTATAGAAAGCAAACCTCATTTCAGAAGTCCTGTGAAACAATCTTTCTAAAAGCTATCCCAACAGCACATTACAAAGGTACTTTCGAAAATCCAGAATTTTCCAATGCAGGAATTTACAGTCAAGCTCTCTCAACTGTATGCAGCTGCTAACAACCTCATCTGTGTAGTACACAAGAAGGTAAGTTTACATTAAGGTCTTGCAGTACAACAGTGAAACCCTCATACAGATTACCTTGTAGCTGCCATACTTTCAAAGGTGCCATTTCATTGGTACTTTCCACGAGGTGTTTTCTAAGCTCTTTCAGCTCTTCTGTCAAGTCAGGATACAACTGCCTAAAAGGGCATGAGGGTAAAACAATTTCTTGGGTTTCCTAAAAGCAAGTCTGCTGCTAATTCTAAGAAACTAACATATGGAAAAGTATGCTGCTTATATCAGTGAATAACTCAGGCATTTAAAAAACTATAATAGAGCAAAAAACCATCAACATCTCTGCATGTTTTCTGATATGACAGATCAACAGCTTAGAAGTTCTACCTTAGTTTTCCAAACAGAAATCCTTGCACTTCATCAACAGGGTCATTTTCACCTATTACTGTAGCATTCACATCTGTGCCTGTAAACACACAAGACAACACTATTGTTACCAACCTGTTCAGAAACAGTTCTTGCACTCATTTTGATTAGTTTAACAAAAATACACTGCAGTAACCAAAAAGAAGGGCAAGTTTCAGGTTTAACTTTTAAATCTTATTGAAGAGATGTTACATTTACAAATGAACATAGTAACAGTTGAAATAAAACAAAGTTGGATTATTGAGAAGAAAAAGCTTAAGATAAGTGGATATCTCAGAGAGCTAAGCATTTCAGAGGAATTCACTAGGACCTAGAAGCTTTCAGGACATGCCAGCTTTGTAGAGCAACTGCTAAACTTCAGTTGTGATCACAGCCCTCATTTTAGCTCCAAAAAACACGATAAAATAGTAACATCTGAGTGAAGTCCAATTCTGGGCTTAAACATCAAAAAGAAATCTGTGCAAGACTCCAGTCTTATTAGCTGGACAGAAGCCAACTCCAATCTAGATGTTTTATGGTAAAGTCTAACTCAAGATCCTGACTTTTTGATGAGTGTTTGCTCCTAGGCAAGCCAAAACAGTCATCAATAAAAGACTGCACAGTCAGAACATTCACAAAATCAGACAGGAGCTGGATGAGAGCCTGTCCTTGTTCCAGCTGGGATAGAGTTAATTTTCTTCCTAGTAGCTGGAACAGTGTTGTATTCTGGATTTAGTATAAGAATAATGCTGAGAAAACACTGATGTTCTAGTTGTCAAGTATTGTTTATTCCTTCTGCCCCTCATTATTATTAGTGTATTTTACTTTTATTTCAATTATTAAACTGTTCTCATTGCAACCCAGAGGTTTTTACCTTTTTTTTTTTTTTTTTCAATTCAGGTAAACAGTTATTCATCTAAACACCATACAAAATTCTCTTTGAAAAATTAAGATGTTCACATTAAAATACTTAAAGTAATAATTCACCTTTCACCTGTGTATCATCCTTGGCCTTGTATTCTGTACTTTTAATAGCCAGTTCCACACCATAGCCAGAGAGGTAGACTTTTTCTTTACTGGGATTCTGTAAGGAAAAGCGAACAGTATAGTATTGCCACTCTTTGGTTTGATGCACAAATGAAAAGCTGCCATCTCCCAAAGGTAAGAAAGCTCTAGGTGGTATACATTTCAGACATAACTGGTAATAGAGAAGTGAGGAAAACACAATGAATGATTCTACAGTAATATACTGTAATATTACATTTCCTGCTGTATTTCAATAGAATTTTTTTAATTTCAGTGAGCAGAGATATCTCGTGGACCAGAAAACCACTGAAAACCACGAAGTAAAGAGGAACACAAAATGATGTTTTCAGGATTCAGCGTAAACCAAATAGGACAAGACCGACTCACATCATCAAATCAAGAGGAGGAAAAGGAACTTCAGCTGTGAAGTTCAGAAATGAAATATTCATTACAAAAAAATAATAAGTCAATGACTCAATAGAGATGTATAATTAGTTCTATTTTTAATGAGAAACAAATGTGATGACTTCTTAAAAATATTCTGAAATACACAGGAGTCCCACAACTGTATATAGATCTATTATGCAGTACACTTAATTTCGAATGTAAGTACTCCATCCAACACTGATAAACAAATACCTTTTTAAAAGTAAAGTGGCATATGTAAGAATATGACTTTATTAAAAGTGCAAAGATCATTAAAAGTGAACCAGCTAATGCTTTTTTTGCATTGGAAGTCTGGCTACTAACTAGCTGCTATACTGCAGGTTTTAGCAGTACTAAACAATACGCAGGAAAAAAGTCAAGTAACTTAAATTTCTCAGAGCTTTTGAAATGTAGTTTTAAACACTAATCCAGTGGTAATGGGCAATTTAGGGGAGGGGAATGGAAACCAGGACAAAATGCATTAGGACTGGTAAGCAGTTCTGTATTATTACAGAACCATCTGCTGTGGAAATAGCACCTTTCATTTGAAAGCGTTCAGGTTAACCCTTGCTTTTCAGATCAAGTAACTAAGTGGCCTGCCTGTGGAAAGATCTGATTGTTTCCTGTAATCTAATATAGGTGAAACAAAGGTTTTTTTAGATTAAAGCCTATAATTAATCCGGAGTTTAACTCTGCATTTGTAAAATCAAATGATTTTCCTATTTAAAAAAGCAGGAGATTAAAAATATTACATATTCCTCAGGTACATGCAATAGAAAACAAACTTTTCAGTATTCCAAATAAATATCAAGCAGCAACACATTATGCAAATGTCAGTTTAAAGGGAACAAAGTTGGCCAGTTTTCTTTTTCTAAAACCCAGGTCAGTTGCTTTTTCCATGTCAAATACCTCTGTTACAATGCACAAATATACTTACAGCAATATAGTGTCTGAGGACATAAGTGATTTCCCCTGCCTCAGCCTTTAAAACAAGCTTCTTGTGGTTTGTGTAGAACTCCTCTGAGCCAATCTCAGCATAAAGTATGACGACAGGACTTTCGGGGTTTGACACTGGGTACTTGTGATCACCTTTGAACAAAAATGGCTTTGGCCTAAGAATAAACATTGGAGATTAGCCCACTGTGCTTCACAGCATTTCTTCACTCAGCGCAAGAAGCAAAATCTCTTTTTCTCATGTTGAATCACTGTTCCTTTCTTCACAGAATACATACGTCAAGCTAGTCACAGAGATTATCAAGGTTGGCAGCATTTGATGCATGTTGATAAAGCTTGTTTAAAAATGGACATACGAAAATGAAGCAAGTAGCAAGGTGCTGTTTTGAACCTAACTTGATCCTTATTTTAAAAACTGACCACTTCCCTTAAACTTCCAATTAACTTCTGTGCCCCAAGTGCTCAATCATAAATTCTGTATGAAAAAGTAAAAGGCTAACAGAGCCTTTTACTTGAGTTCCAGGAACTCAAACTGGAGCACCAACCCAGTCCTCCTTGGTTAATATACACACAAAAAACTGAATGAAAAGACTGTTTTCAACTTGGGTATTTCAATTTTGTCCAAAATAAAATGAAGTATTTAAAATATTCCCAGTGAGTCAACAAAAGAGCATGTGAGCTATCGATGTCTACACGTTGAGCAGAAACCCCTTATGCTTACAAAACCCAAAACTACCAGAATTACTATGGAGACAAACTGAAATTTAAGGGTTTGAGTTTGGCTGGGTTTTGTTTTGTTGGTTTTGTTTTATTCTAAAGAGGTTATTACATTTTATGGTTTCTTGTTGTTACTAAAAGTTAAAGTGAAGTTCTGTTCTTGTAAAGAAATCTGATCTTGTATTACATCATGTGGTAATAGTTTTCTTTGTTAATGCTGAGAAAATTGTATAGAGAAAAATATTGTGCATGTTTCAAGCCATTCATGAAACCATCTCTGTTATATTAACCATCATTTTAATATGTAGCCCAGCTCCTTCTAGTCACCCAACATACTAAAGGCTTTACATATTCCTGAGAGCTCCTACTGTACTTCAGCAAATGGTTTCCAGCTTTTCCTGTGCACATTCCTCTTCCTAGCATAATATCAGAGCAAGCGATATGAAAACAATCATTCCAGACTGGATTAATAAGAAATAAAGAGACTGCCACTTGTGTGCAGTGGACAGTATAAAGCAGCACTGAAGAATGTAGAAACAATTAGTTTATTACCATCTCTTTACAGCAGTAGTCTAACTAGGTTAAACTTTAAGTCCTAATCCAGTGATGCAAAAGCAAATACCTTTCTGAAGCTCCCTGTAAAAGGTTTCCAAGCGACTCAAATTCACATGTCTTATCCCCATGCACAGCAAAAAACAGGGTACAGCTCTTTGGTGGAGGTTCATCTGCTGCTATCTGTATGAAAATATTTGTGATAGAGTAGGTTGAATGTTTGCCTGTAGAACAAGCAAAAATGATAACAGCATAGCTCTCTGTGCAGTCAGTCTTCTTTGATTTCCTAAAGCCTAAACCAGTACTTCTTTGCTATTTATTACATCGTTTAAATGCAAGGTCGAAATTGCAAAATTGAGAGTTAAGTCTTATTATAAATATTTCTGCAGACTATTACTACTAACTGTAATATTGATTCCAGGGACAAAAAGCAAGGCTTGCAATTGTAGGGTGTTTGCTTGAGGTCTCTTTTGCATTACACATCAGAAACCTCTATATTTGTTAAACATCAAATGACAAAATGATTCCAGATGAAAAAGGAAGAGGTCTTCTAGAATTACTTAAATAAAGCACATTATAATGTGACATAGTTTGCAATGAGTTTGAGAAAGAACAAAGTACAACTTATGTAAACATTAGAGGTATATATTCGAGGGTAACTACCTTCAACTAAGTACAACTGAATAACAGGGAAAGCAGCAGCAGCATCACAGGTTTCAGTGAAGCAGCTCATATAAATCTTCACACGATTGTTAGTGCAGTGGGCATCAATGATACGAAGACATGTTGAAATCCCAATTCTTCCATCTACTCTACACAGATGGACTCAAATTTGGCACTGACCAAAATTAGTAGATACGTCTGTTACGTATCAAATGTCTCCTTACACAGCTTGCTCCTTCCTGGGCTTTAGGTAATGCTGTATAAATCATTTGAGGATTTCATGTACTAACCTGTTGAAAAGCTTGAACGGTTGCAGAATAAGAGCGTAAAGCCAAGGAAAATTTCAACAAGTTCTGCTGCAAAGGTGACAGACTCTGGCAGGCTGCTTTCAGCATTTCATGGTAAGAAGCATAATCACTACCTGCAAAGTCAGAGTACAAGCAATTTTCTTTCCATACCATATTCATATCAGAGGGGCTTTTCATCCTAAATTTGATTACTAATTGTGAATCCTAATTGTGATTTATACTAACAGAAGCCCATTACATTAATTGTAAATATGCACATGTCCACTCCTCCTCAATTTTCATTACAGCCGGTTCTACAGATGGATGAGTGACCTTCAATAGAAATCCATGACAGTACACTTAAATACATTGGCAGAGGACACAAACATAGCCTTGGGGAGGCAGGAAACAGTTAAGAGCTCCCATTTAATTTGATAAATAGAAACACAAAGAAAAAGCATTTATAGTATTAATATTTCATGTTGAAATAGAAACTGGCAAGCAAAACACATTTCAGACTTACCCACTACAGTGTTTGTCAAAACAGATGTTATGAGCACTTTGCAGTAAAAGTATTACTGAAATGAGTCCTCATTTGACTTTTACAATATGAACACAACGGAAGACAAAACATTGTGGTTTATTTTTCAACCGTGTCATCTATCAGTCATCATCCAGCAAAAAAGACCAAGAAAAACTTACCATCATGTTCAGATGTCTTAATATTTTGACTGGCTTCTACAAAATTCCAGAATTTTTCTTGACCTTCTTCTGATAAAAATTCACTGAATGAGAAGAGTTGAGTTAGCTACATCTAGGACTTGCCTCTCAAGTTACAACTGTAATACATGGTAAAGCTTTACAGAAGGTTAGCTCCTACCATATGTTTACCTCTACCAGACAATCACAGGTTACTAGAAAAAGCAGACTAGGAAAGGTAAAAATGTCCCCAGATGAACAGATAATATAGTAGGAGGCCAGGACTAACACAGACTACACAAAAAAAGCTTGTAAGGCACCTGTTAATCTCTCAAAGACCTCTAACATACCAGCATACATCCTGGGAGCTCTCCTCTCTAACACATTTCTTTGCTAGCTGCTTTTTCTGACAGACATACATTTTTGTTTACTTTGCTGCAGCAAACTCTAGTTTGTTGGAGCTACAGGACTTTGTGAGTTTGTTTGCTTTTAAATCAGCAAAAGGAGAAGCCACAGCTTCAAATCATGATATTGTAATTCCCCATCTATGAAACATATGATTAGGCAGATATACAACATTAAATAGTAAAATAATTCTCTAAACATTGCTAAGAACAAATACTTTATCCTGTCTAAACATGTAACATGCTTCATATGCTAATGGATGCTATAACAGAAGATTTAGAGCCCACTGGCTGCCACAATAGCTTTTGTGTTCACTTCTGTCTGTTCTCACCTGAGGTGGAAGGTACTTCTCGAACATCTGGGTGATGAATTGCAGTGCTGGGCTAAGTAAACTGAACAGCGGGAATGATTTTACACTGCAGTGCTGTATCATCCTGCATTCCTCCCAGATGAACCATCCTACCCACCCGAAGTCTTTGAATATAACGGTTAGATTATATATCAAGCCTTTGGCACATGATTTTGATTATTTGCTTACTATTTCAGTCTCTTAGGGTGACCTTTTACCCTAAAAATGTCTTGCATTGATGGGGTATTCAAATCCCGGCATATTACTGGTTAAGGATTTTTCAGTCCTCAAACTTCAGCTTCTATAGGGAAGGTTATAGAACAGTCATTTCACCAGGGACACACCTATCCCAAAGCCAAAAGCTGTGCCCATTTGAATAAAATTCATCAGTACTCAGCTATTCTCATGAGAACCATCTGTGATAACAGCCAGAATTCTTATGTGATTAAGAATTATTCCTTAAGTGATACAAAATGAAACACACGCAAACATATAAAAGCCCTGTTTTGCATAGACGTCTCCAAACAGGAACACTGCAGAATGAAATGATGAGGGCTTCTGAACTGCTAAGTAGACTAGTAGTGTAAAGACAGCGTTTTGCTCTGTTTTGTTTAAAAGGCATTTTTACATGTTTTCTTTTTAAATAATGTCTTTAAAAAAAGAGGGGGGAAAAGTCATTAGTACTGTAAAAGAAATCTGCCCAGGCTGATCTGCACAACTCCCTTACCAAAGAAGCTGACTTTAGATAATCAATGCACAGTTCCCTTGAACAAAGTTAATCTCAAGCTTTACGTACACAAGCAACAGCAGATAAGTATCAAAACCTACAGTCATAGTTGAAGTAAAAAAACTACTATGGAATCTTATGAGACTATGCCAAACTTCTCAGTCTAGTGCTTTGAGCAGGTAAAACTTTGCAAGGTAAAAAATACTGTGGAATTATTCATTATTATTACTGTTCTCATTCACAATGAAAGAATTTACCCACTAAAAACTACTACTCTAAAATATTAATCCCATCTCCCCAAGCACAGCAATGATCATGTTCAACTGAGTGTTACTATTACTGCCAAAGAGTCAATAATGACAAGAGCCCAAAGCACATAAAACAAGTGAAACAGAGAACACATTAACTTATCCTCTAAGCATACAGATTTGTCAACAAAAAAAATCACAATACACTTACCTTGCTTCAAGTAACAAAGGAGTTGAAGACCACTTTGTAGTTAGAGATGTTGTGACAGCCTTAGAATGTCCTCTTACAAGTGAAGAGCTGAAGCAGATTCCAAGAACTGCAATAAGTAATCCCATTTTACAGAAGAAGCCTTAAACAACATTAAGGAAAAAAAAGTTAGTTTTGCATTGTCTCTTTTTATAAATACAGAATCTCACACATCCAAATATGTTAAGAACTGTTTTAAGATTCAGGGGGCCATTTAATGCAATGTATCAGTGAGATAATCAGAGTCTCACCTGGACATACAAAATGAAAAATACTATGAAAACATGAAAAGACACAAGGATGTTAAGATCTGACTCCTAAGCTGCAGTTAAACCTAAATCAATTCCAGCTCTATGTTTATGCTTTCAAATAAACCTGTTTCTGTTCTGGGACACCCACATCACACACTGCTTGCTCTATTAAGAGGTATTACAAGCAGCATGAATTTCAAAGTAGGTGGCAAACCAACCCACTGTCTGTTTTACAGGAGGTCAAGTCACATATTGTGTTTGCTGGTGTACTAACCAAGGTCAGAAGAGCCAGGCAACATCAATGTTCCCTCGTCAGCCCTTGAGGTTCTGCAGGGTACAGTGGACTTCTCTGGGGAATGAAGAAACAAGCATTTCCCAGATGCACTAAGTACCACCAACTTTAGAAGCTGAAAAATGAATGAAATAATGAAGACAGACTCAAATTATACAGCTTACCATGAGAAAGGAGCCAAAAAAAAAGTGCCATTTCTTTACTGTCCTCCATGTGTACTTCCATGACCACATATTCTCTAACCTGTATACTACAACACAGCTGAGTGGAATTTCCTTGCCCTCAGCTCTTAAGCTTATGCAATACCTGACTTAGCTTTCCATTACATTCTCAAAAAAATTCAAGTTTTGAGTTTTCTCCCGACTGGAGTATATTTACTACACACCCAGCACCCACCCAGGCACTCTCTTACTTCTTAATCCTTACTTTTCTGGATAATTCTTTTCCTACTCTGTCCTGTAACTTCAAAAACAGCCCACTCAAATTCCAGGTATATCACACCCTACAGCCTGCATCTAATTTGTGTCTCTTGATGATCTTCATATTATAAAAAAAGTCTTATGTGTTACATATCTGTAGCTTTCTGTATCTCAGTGTCACAGAATCAGGGAATCATTAGGGTTGGAAGTGATCATCCAGTCCAACCCCCTGGACAGTCAAGGCAGGGCCACCTAGAGCAGGTTACACAGGAACGCGCCCAGGTGGGTTTTGAGTGTCTGCAGACAGTTCAAATGGTCATGGTTAGATTGTCAATGTCCTTCTTTCACAATGAAAACAGAAATGCCCTGCTGTAATACCCACAGAACAACTTGCTCAGCTGCACACCTTTGGTTTACACCACACCTGGGAAGCAGACAGATGGCATCGCATGACACGCACGGTTACACCTACCGCTCACTGTGGGCAGAGGAGGAAGCTCAGTCAATATTTGTGCAGTGAAACCTCTGCTTCTGACAAGCACAACAGAAAAAAACAGGTTTGCTGTCCCCTCAGAATCGTGTCCTTATAAACTGTAGAAACACAGAATGGTTTGGGTTGGAAAGGACCTTAAAGTTCATCCAGTTCCAACCCCTGCAATTCCACCTCGTTTGGTCACTACCTGCCCTTATCAAAAGCCCCTCTCCAAGTTTCCTGTAGCTCCTTTAGGCACTAGAGCTGCTCTGAGGTCTCCCTGGAGCCTTCTCTTCTCCAGACTGACCGAGCCCAGCTCTCAACCTAGCTCCATAGGATTCACTGCAAATCATGCACAGCTGTTTGGAACATGTACATGAATATACCATACTGCATTCTTGCGACTAAAACTGCTGTGCTGCTCTCTCAAGCCTGCCTTCCCATGCTGGAAAGACTGAAATAAAGGCCTTTTATTATGTAAAATAGGTGACAAACGTGTCCTTTATTTTTTCCCTAACACAGGTTTAGCCATCTGGAAAGAAAAGCAGATTAGAAATATCTGCACTCCCTGGATAACAACAGCCAAAGGGAAGACCAGTATCTCCAAGTGAAATAAAAACACACCATGGAGACCAGAGGAGACAAGATGCACGGGAATTCAATCACAGAATCAATCAAAAGGGTGGAAAAGGCCTTTAAGATCATCAAGTCCAACTGTTAGTGAACAGAAATGACAGAGGAACCAGCTCTGTTCTGTATGAGGTAACAAAGCAAACCCCAACCTGAATTAAGAAGGAAAAAACTGCATTTGTAACTCTTTTTCCTCCAGTCAGGCAGTTTAAAATACGGCTGACTTCTGGGAACTTGCACATCCAGCCCTGGACATGGGAATAAATCACCCCACAGCCACAGGTCCGGCTGGACCATGAGAGCACAGACCTCTGCCATGTCCTGCGAGGTGTGCCTGGCAGTAAGCGGGTAAAGAGCTCCACTTCAGCAAAGCTCAAATGAAAATAGACCTCCTGCTTAGACAGTGATGCCAACCCCAGCATCAAGGCCCCAACACTGAAATAACGTCTCAACCGAGCCTTGTGAACAGTAAGGACTGCCGGTAACACCTGGAGAGCTTCTGTGAGCACGGGTATCGTGTTGCTGTACACGTTCTGAAACTGAAACACGGCTTTTATCTGGTAAGTCCAAAATCGCTTGCAGAGCTTTGCCTATGAACAGATGGTTCTAGTGACACCAATCAACATCCAGCTTGCTTTCATAAACCCCTGCCCAGTGCACACCGTTTCCGATGCAAAGCACGCTCCCGGAATAGCGGCAGCGCACACGCTGCTGCTGACCCGCACCCACCGAGATAAGTACCTCAGGAAGTACAAATCGGGATGGCCGATCCTCAGTGGCGAAGGGCGTTTAGCCCCCGGGCGCGGCCCCTGCAGCCCTCCCGTCACCCCTCCCGCGCTGACAGCAGGACAGCGCCGAGGCCGTACACCACCCGCGGGGCTCCGCCAAACCACGCTCCGCTCCTCTCCGTGGTGCTGCGGGTAGCGGTGCCCAGCCCCGGCCGCCCGCTTCCCCCCACAGCCGGCCCCGCCGAGCCCGCCCCCCGGCCCGGCAGAGGCGCCCTGAGGGCCAGCGCCAGGCCCCGCCGCCCGCTCTCCGCGCCCCTCCCGCGCCAGGGCCGCTTCAGAGCACAGTCGAGCGCGCCCCACGCCCAGCCCCGAGCGCGGGTCTCCGTGGAAACCGCACCTGCGAGCGGCCGCCGCGCTCCCTTCCGGCTCGTGCCGCTCCCGCCGCTTCCGGGAGCGCGGCTTCCGCTGCCGGGCGAGAGGGGCCATAGAGTTACGCGGGGCAGCGCCAGACTGTCACCGCGCCGCCATCTTGGGGGGGTTGGTGTCTGGCACCGCGTATCCCGGAGCCCGCCTTCAGCCCGGGGCGAGGGTTGGATCGCCGCGTCCGGCCGCGCTGCGTGACCGGCGTCCGCGGAGAAGCGCCGGTAAAAGCGGCAAGCGGGGCACGGGCACGGTTCGGGCGAGCGGGGCCGCGGTTCTTCATCAGAGCCCGTGGCTCCGAGCTGCCGCGTTTAGTCAGGCCCGCGGGGAGCGGGGCCCCGGGGTGCAGCGCCGCGAGCCTGTCCGTCGCACGGCGGGATGCGTAGGTCAGATCAGGACAAGCAGAGCAGAGGTTTTCCATTATCTTTGTGCGGTGTCGGTTTAAGAAGCAAGTAATGCCAGAGGCAGAGGTGGAACCAGTGTTGCTTCTGTCATTAACTGATCTAGTTGGTAGCCTGTGCTCTTAAAAGGAGTCCCAGAACTTGATCACACTGTGCACAGAACAACTTATTTCGTTTGCTCACTTGTTTATAGTGTAAATATGAGGGGGGATTGCAAGTAGGCAAAAAATAGTTGGTTTTTATTCATCTTCACTACACTTTTGACAGCTCTCTGTCAGAACGCCCTCTGAACTGTCCCTGCTCCAGCCTGAAGATGCCAACCCCGTTCCGCCATTCTGTATGTGCTCTATGGCCCATTACCTGTGCCACATCCTCTGGATACTTTGTAGTATTACTGTAATCTTATGTATCCATGGGGATGAGGGAGCAGAGCTGCTCATCTCATGCAAGAGGTGGCGAGGCAGAATAAAGCTGGGAGTGTGGCCAGGCAGAGCACCTTCAACGAGGGTAAGGGCAGTGTCCCAGCAAGCATGCCACAGGTCCTGATCGATGGCTGTCTGGGGGGCAGTATCCCTCTGAAGTGAACCCAACCCCTGTCTGTGCCCAGAGCTTCCTCAGCACCTGCTTGCAGAGTTGTTGACAACACACCTGAAGGGTTTGCTGAAGCAAAATTCAGGATGACTCAGATGGGATTCTGTCATTTCAAGGTTTGTTTTCTAGTTTCATTTAAAAGCATTACAAAACCACTATAACAGCACCAGTTGTCTGTCTGACTTCATCTCTGAGCCTCAAGATGTAAGACCTGAATGGGAACAATGGAATGGGAAATAGTGCTAGTCTGGGGTATGTGTGATCAAACACAGGGCAACCCTGGACTGGTGACATCTGAGGACTGCAGTGTGCGTTGTCACCAGGGCTTGTTGGGGGGGGATGGGGGGGTGTTATTTGTTTAACTTGTTTCCATTCTGTCCCAGCAAGTAGCAAATATTGATGCCAGAGACAAGGGGATGTTTGAGTCAGGTATTCACTGATGGTTCTTCCCGAGGCCCCCTTTCCCTGAATACAGCAGCAAAACTTCATCCTCCACGTCAGACATCAGTAGTTCGGATCTGCTCAGCTTCTCCTCAGCGCCTTGTGCTCTGTGAAGATCCTCACTTCAGAGGCAGACGAGAAGCAAACCTCTCACCGAGCCGTTGTTTCTCATTACGTCCCCCTTGTGCCTCGGTGCTAGTAGCGCGTCTTGCCCCGTGTGAGGGGCCAGCTCTGGTCTGCGCCGCTCTGAGGCGGTGGCGGGTGGGCGCAAGAAATGGGCCGTGGGGCAGGGTCTGCCCGGCGGGAGGAGCGGACGGTGAGGAAACCCCGCCATCCCGCCCGCCGTCGCCAAGGCCCCGCCCACCCCGCGTTTCCCGGGAAACCTCCCTGCTCACAGCCAATAGCGTGCCCAGGGAAGGCACCGCCCCTGTCACCTCTCGCGAGATCTGCGTCCGTGTCTAAGCGCGAGGACTACGTTTCCCAGCGGCCCTGAGGGGAGCGCTGCGGCAGCCAATGGGGCGGGGGGCGCCGTGGTGGGCGGGGCCGACCGGGGCCAATCCGCCGTGGGCAGCTGCGGCGGCGGAAGCGGTGCTCGGTGGTGGCGGCTCAGAGACGGTTGCCGTGGGGCGCCCCTGGCACAGGTACTGCGGCGGGCAGCGCGCCTGGCGCTGCTCCGGGGACTGGGAGCAGGTCCAAAGAAGGGTTGCGGGCGGGGAGCGACGGCCGCCGCTTCAGATCGGTCGCTGCGGCTGTCTCAGTGCGCGGCGGCGGGGGAGAGCCTGTCCCTGGAGGCAGTGCGCGGAGCGGGGCGAGCGGAGAGGAGAGGGGCGGGGCCCCGTGCGGCGGCAGGACCGGGGCGGGAGCGCGGGAAGGGACAGAGACAGGGTAAGACGGAGGAGAGGAGCGCAGGAAATGGTGGGAGAGAGCCGGGGCGGGCTGGGCCGGGCGGTACGGGCCGCGGTCGGTGCGGGGAGGGGCGGCTCCGGGCGCCGCCGCGCTCCCGGGAACATCCGGGCCCTGCGGCCCCTCACGGCGGTACAGCGGGGCGGGCCCGGGCGGCACGGCCGGCTCTCATTGGCCAGCGCCTTCCTCCCCGCTATTGGCTCGCCGCCTTGTGATGTACTTAGTACGGCCGCTCCTTACTGGCTGTGGAGGCCACCTCTGGATTGGCTGGCTTGG